TCTTATGGCTATTCAGATGACAAGCACCAAGAGAATGCTGGATTAGAGGGATCTTTGGTCTGCTCCAGTGGGATATGTCATTCTTAGCAGGAAACTTTGGTGGATTTAATTTTATGCAGTGTATGAAATGTTGCCTTTGCTGAGATTTCTTTTATACTGTATTTAAAAGTAAATGCCCTTCTTGGTTTTTGAAATTAGGTCATCCTTTGTGAGCACACACATTTTAATCTATTTTTTTGCACATCTTTCTTGATAATAAAAAGTGGTAATGGTGGGTTATAAGTGGTGTAAGGCCCATTTATAGGTTGCAACCTTCTAGCCAAAGTCTCATAATGTGGGAAGCTATGTTATGTCCCAGACATGGGGTACCTCCTGTTCTGTGCTTGTGAAGTTATGGATAGCTAGTATTTCCACCCTCTTTCCCCAAGCCATGTCATACAGGAACCAATCAATGTGAGAGGAGGCATGTTTCCTTCTGAAATCTTCAAATCTAGAAGTCGGCTCTAGTCACACCCATTTCCAGCTAAACGGAAGACTCTTTATGGCTGCCAAATCCAGCTTTTCAAGGGTTTGGCAACAAGCCCATTTTGCTCCTGGGCACCAGGTGGCAGTCAACAAATAGAAAAGGGTTGTGGCAGTGATACCAGGCAAGGATCTGCATTTAATAAATATCAGTATTAAGGGGATTTCAAGTCTCAAGCACTGATCTGTTGGGTTGCAAAAAACATTGCAAGGAAAAGAGTTTTGGAATGCCTACTTGCCAGTTAAGACAGAGCACAAATACAAGGTTTAGGTGATTATTTTTGAAGATTTGAGGTTTTTGAATGAGCCAAAAAAAAAATCTCATCAAGCTGCAAAACATCTTGTGCAATAGTAAAATTTGTTAGTTAAGCCTAGGAAAACCAAGCTGAATATAGAAGCAAAGATTGTTCTTTCAGCAAAAAGAACAGGCAATACCCCTTTCATTAAGAGAGATTGTAAATTACTTGTTTGTATCTGTTGGCAGTGGGCTGAATGATTGCACCAAATCAATTCCATTATCCTCACATAGATTCTGTTGCCACAGGGTTGCCTGTACTTCTTTACATTCTTGAAGGCAAGCCAGTGTGCACATAAGATACTAGAAAAGGCATGCTGGACCAGACCAATGGTCTGTTCCCATGGTGGCATAATAGCTTTGCAGAGATCCCACGAGAAGGATGGGGACAAGAGTTCTGTCTGCCAAGGGCTTCAGCAACAGACACCTCTTATGATGAAGGCAACGCAAGAAGAGCCTTCTCCTCCAATCCCCTTTTAAAATCATCCAAATGATCTGCACCCAGGCTTTCCAGTTCTGCTGTGGAATGGCAAGAGTGATGAAGGGTTATATGTCTTTTGCAGTCACAGTTGCGACATGCAAATGCAGCACTGGAAAAAGGGTGGACAATTCCACTACTTCAGTTTTGTTTTGAAAGGTATTCTGATTTCAGAAGTAAATGCAAACACAGAGATGTGGTCCCCTTGCCCTATTTTAGAAGGCATTAGGAGGCCAAACAGAATCTCCAGTGGCCTGGGAGATTTTTCCTAATGCCCTAGTCAGAATAGCCCTAAACAGTTCCTCATACTCTGCTGTGCAGATCACTACCTAACCTCTAGCTTTCTCTTTCCTCTATCAAGGGCAGTAGAAGCTGTATCCCTGTACTCTCAACTCCTGAACCCATTTAGCTTCTCCTTGTGTTATCAGAGAAGCCAACTGTGTTTTTAGGGTGCAGCCACCCTTTCCATTTAGCTTCTAGAAGTGAGCAATTCATTCTTCTCTGGGTAAAGTTGGCCAGGTCAGGGACTGCCATTTCAGACCCACTATGTGTGGGAGAAGGAAAACTTTAAAAGCTCAGCTCTTGGCTAGATTCCAAGATCAGTTGCAAAAAAAGTAGCTCATCCTGAGATACATTGTTGTTCTATATACTTATACACACAGCTGAATATATAGCTACAGCAATATTACCAGCTGAAGTCTACTAGTAATCCTCTTTAGAAACAGTTATTTATCTGTTTGGCATGTATACCTAGTACATAAACCCATTCAAGTTTACTTAACAGTTCTAACTCAGCATGTGGAAACAGTTTGAATTAAAGCAAAATGCATGTGGTTTGAGATATTAAGATTAACATAAACTTTCCTCACCTAACAATGCTGATACAGATGGGCATGTTATTTTTTATAGTAGGTGCCTTATTTTTCTTTCTGAAATACAAACTCAGGAAACATCTACTTGCATTTAACGTTTGTGTGTGAGAGAGGGAAGGGGGGATACCACTGAATGAAAAGAGGATCTTCACCTCCACATACATTTTGGAGTATTTCGTTTTTCAAAGCATTTTATTTTAAAAAAGAAGTATTCAGATACTAAAAAGGAAGAGGATAGGGGGAGAGAAATCATCACATTCTCTGCATAGTTATCTGAGATTTTACAAAATGTGTGTGGGGTTTTGCTGTTGTACTTGTTTAAAATAATTGTAATGCGGAAGAAATCCATGTCCAGACTTGTTTAAACTTCATTCAGGCAACAGCCAGAGCATCACTCCAACAAATTCCTGTATTGTGGGATTTTTTTTAATGGAAAAGGATGGACAAGGCTAACAGAGGAAGCTCTTTTAATGCTTCCTTCGGTTCATGAATTCATTGCACAGGCCAGTTTGGTTCCAATCCTAGGACTGATACTAGCTGCACAAATATATGTACCAAAGTTTAAATGATGCATGAAAAATGCAGTCAGAGAGTTCACAAAAGAGAATTTTTAAGCATTTTTTTCTTTCAAAAAATTTCCCTTGACAAAGAAGAAAAGCAAAAGTAATTACACTCTTCATTTAAATTAGCATTCATGTTCATTATTGCTATACCAAAACCAGAGGAGATATCTGTGATTTTTAACTGACCTATTTGTCTTGATTTTTTAAAAAATGTACATACTTGGGAAAAAGAATCTTTATACATTAATACCTTTCTATATATGTACACATTCATACACCCCCCCCCCCCCAGATGACACTTTCCCCAGTTTAGAATATGTTCTATTTTGTATTTCTCAAGACACTGGTTCTTCTTTGGGGCAGACATTTCAAAATAAAGCATATGAGTTATACAAATGTCACTGGCACAAAAAATGCGGTATCCTCTTTCACCTTCAGCAAAAGGGGTTTTTTCTCCAAACAGCCATCTTTTTGGAGAGAAGGATTTTTCCTCCCCACTCCAACCCCCCAAAAGAACCACCATTCCAGATAATACAAAACACCTTGACATATGAACATGAAAATGCAAATAGAAATACTGCTCACAAATGAAGGGTGTTTTCAAACAAGAGTAATGCATCGGCATTACATTGTGGGAAAATGGCTCAGTAACAGATTTGAGAGAGTGGGTTTTTCTGAGCAGAAAGTTCAGAAAAACATTCTGACTGAGGTAGTAAACCTGAATCTGGGCCATACTTCCTCAGACACGGGACCTCAAATGATGAGCAGTCTCCCCTACCTACCAACTCCCTGCTGCTACCCTGCACATAAAGAATTAGATGTGAGAGAAAGCAGCCTCAGCCTGGAATCAGAAGTGGCATATCCCAGCCAGGTTTATCACCACACTTAGAATTTGGCTGTGCAAAATGTTTTAAATCACAGATAATGTAAGAGCCAAGCCTTTGCCCAAGAAGGCCAATTATCAATCCACAATAGCATTTCATAACCTTGTCTTAAGAAAGGAATATACTGATGGGGATTAGGTATATGCTGGCTCATTGAAATACCCGGAAATGGCCAAAGGAAGGAAGTCATACTGGTCCAAGCAGCTGTGAAAGAAGAGGTATAACAAGGGAATGTTCAGCTTGAAAATGAAGAAGAATGAAAAATGGAAGATTTGGAGGCTTGGGAAGATGCATCAGCTTCATTTCTGGAGTCTGTCTTTTTCCATTAGATCCAATAGGTGGTTCCAGAAGGGCCCAATAGGGTGACTCTGGATTTCAAAAGGGACCAGAATTTTAATTCAAGACATTGCAATATATATTAAAAGCAGCATTGAGCCTCTTGGGTATATTTGGAAAGAAATGTGTAAGGCATATTATGAATGAGCAATGCAAACGAGATACAGGCAGAGAAGAGTTGGTGACTTCTGATACCCTGTTCACACTGGAGGAGGCCGGACCCTGTTTCCAACATAACAAAATAGGAATGCGGTTAGATACTCTGCAGGAGGTGGGGATTTTCACATGTAACAAAGCAGCTGTTCAAAAGAATCCCATGGTTAGACTTTAAACTTTAGTGCTGAGAAGCACTGAGCATTCTGTGGTCCTGAGGTACACACATGGCCTTGCTATAAGGTGGAGGTGGTTCATGTCTCAGCATTAGAAAAACTTGAATCAGGATTATTTGGAGAAGGAGGTTGTGCAAAACATGGAATTTCTACCCTGTTCCAGGTCCCTTCTCTTGTCAACAGGCAAGGTTCTAGAACTGAGTTGAAGGGAAGCACATATTGTCATTGCTGCAGACCATTTTGGTGCCTTCTCAGCTGTGCTCCAGGTTTCAGTGGTGGACATAATGGCTTGATAACCCAAATAATTTTGCAGAGGACTAACTGGAGCATTGACAGAGGTTCTATATTCGAAGTACATAGTTGCAAGAATAACACACCTTCTTACAGGCCAAAGATCTTTGGATCTTTCTGAGCAAAAAGACCTCCAACACACCTTCCTATTCTAACACTGAGGTGATAGCAAAAATTGCTTACATCTTGCACATATGATACCATGGAGAATGGGCAAAGCAATGAGATACCTATTTGTCCAATGCAAATAAGCTCTTAAGTCCTGACTTAAGTTGGTCCTGAAGAACAGACGATCGTACAAATGAAAAAATGTTTTTGCCCTTGGAGGTGGTGGTTTTTGGTTTTGGCACATAGGAAAACATGGACAATTTAGATGGAAATACAAAATAAAATGACCAAGTGATGGCAAGTCAACAACATTGAATTCCAGCTAAGTATAATTGCAACAAAACATTCTTATTACCTTAAAAATCACATGCATGTAAGTTGACATCCAAAGCCACCGAGTAGCAAGAACTCAGATGACTTAAGGGCTATATACAAGAGTAGTATTTTACAACTGGCAAGAAACCTCCCAATAAAAAGAAACTGGTACACTGCAGAAGCATTTTCTGTACACTGATAACAGTTATTTGCAATAAAAGGCAGATCTGTTTATGTATGGCTTGGATTGCTGTTTCTGCTTGGGGCTTTGCATGGTTTTTTTGAATGAGGTGGTAGCCCATGTTAGTGATGATTGTTGAACTGGCTTTCCCTGTATATCCCTCATTCTTTTCTTGCAAGAATCGCAGGAATCCTCTCCAACGACTGCACTAAATTAATCTCAATCTTCTTTTCTCTGTAGGGAGGTAGGCTGTTTCTTGGACTGCAGGCTTGGACCCTCCATGTAATCAGAGGCTCATTTCAGAGAGAGTCACACTTAGATCTCAATGGGACATCATTGTGCCTAATATAATATTGATTGCAACAGGACTGGGGAGAGAGAAATTGCTTTTCGTGGATTGTGGGGGCGGGGGGCTCAGTACAAGTGTTAGCTATGCAAAATGTTTGCCTGCCTTCTCGCATTAGATGTGTCTACTTGGGTACTGACCTCAAATGCTATGGTGTTTATTTAGGTAGAAGTCACAGTACTACTCAGCTCTATTTCACCAGTATTTGGATAGATACCCAAGAACCTGGAAGCCTGTGGTGACAGGAGTATGGAGTGTGGTGGTGATGAGTAAAAGGATGATTAACTGGGTGTTCCACATTTCCCCAGGGAGAAGCTTCCTGCTTAAGATGCTACAGCAACCGTGCTGATTTTAAAACACTTCTTCGTGTCTACTCATGAATGCATCACAGGCACTTCAGAGAAGCTGCCTTTTCAATCCCTTTGATGCACATTCTATCCTATGAATCTGGGCATGTATAGCTGTTTGGAGAGTTGCCCTAGTTAAAAAATGACTCAACCCGAAAGCTGACCCCTCAGACCAGTCCTGGAGTGCATCTCGGGTCTCTCCTAGCATGTTGCACACACTCACTCCATCTGCCTATTCTCCCCGAAGGCACAAATTCCTTGGCTTTGGGACTCCAATGTAACAGGAATGCTCGCACCAAGGTAACAATAGCTTTAGCTGGGTGAAGGTCATTGAACATGTTGACCACAGCATCACATGCTGACGGGGCTAGGAGCTGGTGTTTAGGCTTCCATCCTGCCAATTTCTTGTACTTTCCAGAGAAGGGACAGTTTCGGCATATAACAAAGAAGCATTGCCATATCAATTTGAAAACAGGCAGATGGTTCTATAAGCTAGAATATTAGCTGCAATCCACTGTTCAGATACCAGCTGAGGTTAAAACAGCTTCTGGTATGCAGCAGGGTGGAACTGAGCATGGAAAGCATGAAAATCTCTTGTAAGATCCATGGAAAGTAACAACTGATCAAGAAAGAGATTGCACTGGGTATGACTCATCAGAAGACTGAGCCCCATGGGTAAGAACTATAAAGGCCAAACTACAGATTGCATGCAGTTACGTGGATCACTTCTCCTGCTTTTTTTTTTTTTTAACTGAAAGATTTTTCAAGTGGTGAATTTAAACAGAGGTATAGCACAGGGTGTGTGCGCACATATACATGTCCATGTATGCTTACTCTTCCTCAGCTGGTTGCAGTTCAAAACCACACCCCCACACATAATTATCTCCCTCCCCTCCATGAGTGCAAAGCAGCTTGGGAGGGGTAAGTAGAATATAATCTGTCTAGGAAGCAAAAGTTTAAGCAACCCTTCAAAACTTCCTCTGCTGAAACTCACCTCCCCAGCTCCTCAGCAAAAAAATAACAATTTTTAAAGCCAAGAGAAAAACCATTTGCATGTGTCAAGTGCCTCCTGCAAAATAAGGGCATTTGGCATGATTTGCATCCAAGGCATAACTGGGAAAATTTCAGGACATGACCATTCAGCAAGCACTGTGCCTGATTCTTGAAAAGATCGTTTATGTGCAAGGAACATGCATGAGGTTTTGTACGTGCTTTCTAAAGCAGAAGTGTGAATTAAATCATTGACCTAAAATTCTGTCTAGCAAGCCTAGCAGCCCATATCATATTTAGACAGGAAGGCAGGTTAAAGTATTCTAGCAGAAAAATCAGGTTTTGCAGAGCTTTATGGGCTTCACTGACTTCTCTCTGATGAACCCACCCACCAAATGTGTCATAAATTGTAGCAGAGATGGGGCTTCTTTGCAGATTTTGAGCAGAGATTAAACCAAGTGTGCACATTATGTGACTCAGAGAATGGCACTCTGCAAGGTCCCTTTGTCCTGCAAGAAGCAGAACAGTACCCCCTGTGCAAAATAGCAGAACTGTTGACCCAACAGTTGCATTTGGCTTCTGAGGTGTTAAGGAGCCCCAGAAAGCATCCATATGAAAAGAAAAAGAAACTTTGTACATAATTATTAGAGTGCCCTGTGGAAGACTAATATTACCTGTACAGGATGCAAGGTTGGCACTTAGGGGTTGGTGGTATGCTATGTGCAAGGAAAGAAAACAAATATGACCCTGAGGATATCCCTTTTTGCAGATCTAAGAAATTTGTGTTCATAATTAGGATTGAAGTCTAGACAGGAAGGCAAGCCTGCAGTCCAAGATCTAATAGCTGAAAAAAATAACAAGTTATCACTGGCACCACTGGCAACACAAGTACAACTGCTGGCTGCAGCCCTGCCAAGAAGAGGGTAGTGAACAACCAAACCACATGCAGGCAAGCCCAGCATCTGCACTCTGTCTTCTTCTACGGCAAAGATCTGCAAGTGCACCCCAAACAAATGGGACAAACGGGGTGGACAGTGACACAGCCAACTCTCAGTGGTCTACAAGAAAACAGTGGCAATTTAAAAAAAAATGCACGCACACACACTCGCACAGGGGAGGATGATAAGCACATACGATTGTGAAGTATCCATAATATATGTGAACGACAATTGTTTTTTCCTGGAGTGAAGCAGCCAGTCCAGTTCCAGGATATGGATATGGGAAGGAAAGGGGGAATTGTGCTGGTTTTATATGTAATGGAGAACGCAAGCCATATGAATCCAAAAGGCAATATTATATAGTGTCACCACTTAGTCAGGGATGACCCAAGTGCTTCGAAGTCTTGCAGGCTGTAAAACAGCCCGTGACATTATCATCAGAGGAAAGAGCTGTCATATTCTTTTTTGATTGTAGTCAAAGGTGGCTTGGAGGGAGGACAAACTCCAGTAGGCACACAGCCCTCATGAACTGGATCCCTGGTTTTCACTTGCCTTCTTCTCTTCTGGAAGGACTTGGCTTTTCTAAAGCCCCATCTGCTGCATCATAGCCAACTTCATTTCAAAAGTAGGGCTACGACACCTTTGTTAACCCAGAACAGTCCGTCCAGGGCACTACATTGGTTAACAAGGAGCCCATTACACTCCTTGAAAGGGAGAGCAGGTTGAATCATCAGCAATATGAGGAGCACCTGCCAGGTGTTCCGGAAGTGTTCCAGAAAGGTCCCAGAGTCTCTCTTGAGCACATAATCAGTAGGAGCAGCATGGAGGCTTTGGCAAAGGACTCTGTCTCCAGATCTATAGGTTCTCTCCTGGCTGATACTGAGGCTCTGTGGATGTGAAGTAGTCCTCCAAGAAAGCCTGAAGGTACTCAAAAGTAGGCCTTTCCTCGGGATCCTTCCTCCAACACTGGCACATCAGATCATGCAGAGATTCTGGGCATTCTGGAGGACAAGGCATCCGATAGCCTCGTTCCACTTGATCCAGCACTTCCCGGTTCACCATACCTATTGGTACAAAAGCAGAGATGGGTCATTGGGACCACTGGCAAACCCCTCTTAGATCCCAAAACTTATCACATCTCTAAAAAGCTGTGTGTTATTTGGCTCTTCCAAAGCACTGTTCAGTCAAAATATAGATAAGCAGAGTTACATTTGAATTACAAGACAGTAATTTAAGCAGCTCCCCCAACATTCGGCAGAAAGCTCATTATTGTTCTTCCTGTTTTCCAGATGGTTTCTCTAATGCCAGAAAATATAAAACTGGAAACTTGCTAGGAATAAAAACAACAGCAGCAACATCATAATAATCTTCCATTATCCCAGATATCCAACGTATTTGCAATATATGGATATTCTGATCATGTGAGTGGTCTATTGCTGCTTCCTTCTGCACTTCTTCCTCCACCCCAGCTGATCTACTGACAGCAGCATGAGAAATAATCATGACTGGGGACATCCATAACATTACTGATGTAGTATGCAACTGAACCATGAAAAAAGTGCAAACGGTTGTTCAAGAGATAACAACGGTGCAACGCTGAACATAAGAACTGGGCCAGGATGCACAAACAAAGGCATGGGACCATATCCAGCTTGGCAGGGTCGCAATCCAACCCTTGGAGGTTCTTCAGATGGCCACAGCACTTCCCCTTTCGCCTACCACTGATGGGTGGTTTCCTTGCACACTTTTTCTTCTCATTCTCATTTTCTTCTACAGGCTGTAAAAGCTTTACAATGAAATATGCTGGTATATTTGGTATTTTGGCAGCACACCGTTTTGCTTTCCCTCTAACCCAGCACTGGAATGCATCCTCTAAAATAGAATTCAAGCCTCAGGCTGACAGAGGTCTGCATCCCTGACTTGAGGTTTAAAGAAAGACAGAGGTGTTCAGTTATATTCAAACCACGGAGAAGTTCATTTCCCCCATCTTCCATTTATCCATCAATTGTGTATCCCAGTGTAAAAAGCTTCCTTGTATTTGTGAAGCAGTAAATATTTGAACCGTCCCTTTCATAAGCTATTGCGAATGCTGCATCCATTGCTCTCAAGCATCCATTGTTGTGAAGGCTATCTTAAAATTTCCAAAACTACCTTTTCTTACGTGATATTCAGAGGCAGGACAGTGCATGGTCAGTGGTAGATACTATGATAGACTTAGAATTAAAGCTCAGCACAGTATTTGTGAGTTTCATGTGTGTTGAAACTGGCATGACAGATGAGGGAAGACATCAGACATCAATATTCTGTCAGTTTGTCAAAGATGCCGCTTTTTGACCAAATCCCGGATGTTAATCCCCCTCAGTATTATGAACCCTTCCATCTCAAACCAAAGACAGATTTTTTTTAATGTTCCAGGAAATTACAGTCTAAGTTAGATGTTCCCAAGCACTGGGATCAAGGGAAGCTGTGTAATCTCTCAGCTTAGCTAAACCAGTGTCACAAGCTAGGTTTCCCCTTGGCTCTTCCAAAATAGCAGATGATTCTTTGCCAAAAAGCTTTTTTATTCTCCAATGCACTTCCAGTAAGCACAACCAACAAAGAATGAGTCTCTGAGCATGCTCAAAGTGGTTCTTTGAACACAATCAAGCAACTACTTCCAAGCACCCCTCTTTGGAGTACCTCCCTTTTGGATACAGGCAAGCCTCTTCTCTGTCCGGTGCCCCTCTAGTTGGTTGTCCCATCCCTCCCGACATTGCATCATGGGGTCATGAGTCATACCAAGCTTGGCTGGCTACATGAGTTCCTCTCCCATGCCCTTTCCCTGTAGTTGTAATTCCTGACTATTCTCAACATCCACCTGAACACCTGAAGAAGGTGCCCTGGAGATTAGTTCCTCTTCTTCTTCCATTTCAACATCTGAGAAATCTGGTTCCCAGAGCCCCTCATCATCTGATGAGTCTAAATCAGCTTGACCTTGGAACACACACCGAGAATAACTGGCCCTTTTATTCCTAACAACCAGCTCTGGAATTGCAATGCAATTGAGTTAAGGCTCAGGCAGAGCTCCTTTATAGCACTCCTTGCAAGTCAGAGCGGGGACAGGGTCATACTAACATCACAGCCCAAGGGAGGTATGATGCAGGGTAGACTTACAGCCAGTGTACAAGGACTCTCTGCCAAAGCTTTAGCTCAGTCAGGCTGCAAAGCCAAGCTCAGCATTGCAGAGCTTCTGTTTTACGCGTTGTGAGTGCTGCTGTAGACTGAAAGCTGAGAGACAGCACTGTTCCTTGCAGCATTAAAAATAAAGTCAGCTTCTGCCCAGTTCTTAATTGTGTTCAGGTTAAAAATAAAAGATGAAATGGGGCAGAGAATTCTACACACACACCATAAAAGGACACTGAAACAGAAGGTGCTTTTCAACAATAATGAGACTGAAAGTAAAGACATTGTTTCAAATAAGGGATTACAGCATTTAGAGGGCGCACATGCATCTGTATAGGGGGGTTCTGGTCTGCTTGAAAAGGCAACAGAACATAGGAAGCATTCTAGTTTGTGGTTGTTTCCAGATGAGGCTTTGATTGTGCAGTCACCCTTCCTCATTCACAGAATTTCTCATTTTACAATCATGCCTTGCATTCCCATCCTACCTGCACGCTCCCCCTCCACATCTTTTATATTAAAAAAATATCTGTTAAAGAGGGGAAAATGTAAGAGAAGAACAGGAACTTTGGACTGGTAATGCTAGGGCTATACATCGGGAAGCACTTCAGCTCTTATATTTGTCAAGCCCAGTAAAGTCTACTCTAACTAGCCACAGCAACCTAGGATCTCAAGGCAAGGTCCTTCCCTCACCTGCTAACTGACCCTGGAAATGCCAAGGGCTGAACTTGCAGTCTTCCACATGCAGAATATGTGCTCTATCACTGAGCTTTGGCCACTGCACAAATGAACAAGGCGTTCTTTACAGCTGGTGCATTGGCCCCTGAAGCACCTCAGCAGAACTGGATAGACACGTACCTGGATAGGGCACTCGGCCCTTTGTGGCCAGTTCAGTCAGCAATATTCCGAAGGACCATACATCTGATTTGATGGTGAACCGGCCATAGAGAGCAGCTTCTGGAGCAGTCCACTTAATGGGAAATTTAGCACCTAAGATAGAAAGGGGCAAGAGGGAAACAGGTTTAAAAATGTTGCCCATATATTCTTCTGCAGAGTCCACAAAAAGAGAAGAATGTGAAATGATGATGGAGACCTAGTTCACACACAACTTTAAACCAGATTGTATCTAATCTATGGTTTGTTTTCCTACCCATGGCTTATCTGAAAAACAATTGAATAAGCCATGTTTTGTTTTTTCAATCCCTGGATTGTTTGTTTCCCTCTTCTACCCACTCCCAGTATCCCAAATATCTTTGTGTTGCTATACTGTTAGCATGCGGAGTGGGTGTTCTCTTTTACACTCTTGCTCACTACATTCATAGCCTGGCAAAAAAATCCACGGTTCTGAATTTCTGGTGTGAAACAACCCATAGTTTAAACAACCCAACAATAGAACAAAGCCTCTCCTTCTAGCTTGTTCATAGTTAACAAACCATGATTCCAAAATTCAGCTATGCATAGATTAAATACCCTATCAGTGAACATTATGTATAAATCAAATGTCTATTACTACCTTTGTATCATTCCCAAGCTGTGGTAAAGAATAGTAACTTGAGATACCCTCAGCACAGCACAACACCTTCCTGTGTCTAGGCCAGAAAGCTTTCACACTGGGCTTTCACCCAGATTTCTTCCCTTCTGGAGAACTAACTAGTTTGAAGCTAATAATTCCACCCAAACAATTAATGAAGGAGAGCGTGGTGCATACCTTGTCTTGCTGTGTATTCATTGTCTTCAATTAGCCGTGCCAGCCCAAAGTCAGCTACCTTGCACACCAGGTTCTCCCCTACAAGGATGTTGGCAGCTCGGAGATCTCTGTGAACATAGTTCATCCTCTCCACATATGCCATGCCAGACGCAATCTAGAACCACCCCAAACACAAAAGACATTCTGAGTTTTCTTGAGCTGGCATTATGCTCAGTCACTCCTCTGGCTTGTAGCTTGACCGCTATCGAAATACAACCCCCAAGAGCTGATTTGAAATGAATTCAGCCATTGGGCTGAAAGAGATTCAGTACCCCTGCAGTAAAGACCCTCCAAAGCACAGCAAAGCCCCACTAACTGTGGCAGAGGATACTTCTAGGCAGGCAGTTTCTAGCCCTCCTGAAGCACTGCCTGCATACTGTATGCCTTATAAAGTGGAATTCCACACTGCCACGAGCATAGTGCCCATCGTGGGTTGACATACCCAGACTTTCCATCTACATTAGTGGCTGGGATATAGTCATGTGGGTACCTTCCTTGACCCTTTTCTTCCTGATGCACTTGGAGAGGCAGGGTGCAGCAGAGAAGGAACAGCTGACGTTTTGGCTCTGCTGGTTTTCAAAAAGGCCAAAAAAAGAAGAAAAAAGGCAAAAAAGAAAATTAGCCCACCAGAGTTTTGTTATCTACAAAACTAGGGCAGGGACCTAGGTTTTCATGCCAAAAAGGAGTAGAAGGGAGAAAGTGGAGGCCCGCCCTCCACCACATTTCATCACAGTGAAGGCTGGTGGGGGCGGGGGTGCCAACCTCTGAAAATTCAGTGCAGGGAAAAGGGATTTCCTGCTCCCTTTTTCATGCCTTCTTAGATTCTTGTAGAGTCGAAGAGCGGAGTTTTTCTTGCTAATTTCTAAGGTCTGCACAAGCCAGAAGTGGCTGGGTTCCCAACCCCACCATCAATTAGAAATGCCTCTCAGGAGGCTAACATGCAGAGCAGGCATCATGGGAAAGCTGTGGTTGCTCCCCGCAAAGCCATGGCTAATGCAGTCCTGCTTGCTTTTTTCTCCCAATGCGCACAACACCAAGACAGAAGGAATCAGGGGCCCATTTCTGCTCCAGTGGTGGCTGAGCTGGTTGTCATAGTTGGGTGGCATAAAGGTTGGAGGGAACAGCAGCTGCTGCCAACACCATCACAACCTCATGGAGCCCCATCTGTGCAGTGTTCATGCCCAAAGAAGTTTGTTTTTTAAAAAGAAAAAAAGACAAAGGGCAAAACTCTGAACTGTTTCACAGTTACAAGGGATGATTGTTACAAGGAAATGCCTAGCAAGAGATACAGAAAAGCAGGGCACTGACACAGGCATTCAACTGTCATGTGGATGCCTTCTCCCACCAGCTAACTTAATCATCAGCCATACCCATGGAAACTGTCCTAATGTTAAATTCCTTTCAAAAAGTCCAATTTTTCTGAACTTTAAAAAAAAGAACAGAATTAGCAAAATTCAAACACAGGATAAAGATTGTGCATTTGACTGTGATGTAGGGATGTCCAATAAAAAGAACACAGCTACTGCAGAGCGAACCCTTTGACTAGAAGCATGAACAATCTCATGGTTTTCTTTCTCCAGTCTGCACCACTTCCTGCAACAAGGTTGCAACAAGGTGACTCAATGAACATGTATTTGGAAAGTGGCATTGTATAATTCTGCAATGTGCAGATTGGTTCTCAAACCAGACGACACTCACCTGAGCTGCCATGTCCACTAGCTGGGGCAGCCTGAGATACTTGCCCATCTCCCCCTTCAAGAAATCCAGGAGGCTTCCTAGGGTGGAATATATAGTTGTCAGTAATCAAAGCAGGGGCAAAGCCTAAATATTTGCAGATATTTTCCCCCTGCAGAAGCTGTTGTAATGTCATGGAATGGACAATGCCCTTTAATTTGGGCCCACCAGCTGTTATAAAGAGTGTGGAATACAAGAACTTTATCCAGTTGTTCTTTAGTATATTTTCCCCCCCATATCCTGATTTGGGTGGAATTTTCCACTCCTCAAGTTTTCAAGCAGCATGGGATGTGCTGAATTTGCAAAAAAGCCTTGGAATGTTATTTGATCCAATTTTGCCTATTTAGTTTGAAGAAGAGACTATCCCTAGGAAAGCACACAGCCACTCTGACACACAGTACATTGCTCTGCTCTGAGCACCTTTGCACATGTATTCTGTGACGATGTAGATTGGCTCTTCTGAAACCACAGCATACAACTGCACCAGCTTCTCATGGCGCAGCTTCTTCATGACCTGGGCTTCCTGTAGAAATGCTTCTGGGGACATTGTCCCAGGTTTCAGTGTCTTTATTGCCACCCTGGTGGTGCCGTTCCAAGTCCCTGGAGTAGAAACATAATTGGTTAACATGATACTGAAAAGACATGTTTTTGAAAGAGAGATATCTGCAGATAAGAAAAAGTCTTGCATAGCACATTCAGAGCATACTAGTACTATTCTCACTGCCATATGTAATTTATATAGCCAGATATAAAGGACCAGGAGAGGCTATTGTTCTTGGCAAATGTAGACATATCTCTAGATGTTTATAGTGTATATCTGTCCCTCTTCGAAAATTGGTTTCTGGATGGCACCTTTTATTCTCTTCCCATGAGAAAGTCACCATTACATGTTCTTATTTTGCTACTATATCATACAGTGATGGCCACCACTGTGGATGGTTTGACAAGGGGATCTGATGTTTCAGAGGCAACTAAACTTCATAACATTCCCTCCACCAAGAATCTTAATGTGATATATGTGAATTACAATACCAAAAGTAGATTCATATCCATGTATTATCCAAGCTCAAAACATTTCTGCTTCAGAGATGGAACCAGCAGGTACATTTGAAGAAACCATCCTTTGGATTATAGTTAACCTTCAAGTTGATGTAGTCTGTTGTGTCCTTTAAGAACACTCATGGCAATGCACTGTTCAGATACCAGAAGTTCATTCAAACAAGGTGTCTCAATTTGCATAGATATATGTGAACTGATATCCTTAATTTGCCAACAGCTTGTCAGGGTTTGGATCTAGTTTGAGTCATATTTAGGGTCAGCTCACTGAAATCAATGGGACTACATCTGGAACCAGCCATGGTATTTCATACTGGGCAGTTGTTTTGTTTCTATCATCATCTATGGCCAATATAGAAATAAAACTGAACTGTAACAGAGTCCAACTGACAAGGAAGAGACAATTGTGTTTAATGTTCTTGTTCTCTTTTTTGCTCTCACTCTCTCACACACACTTGACTCAAGTAAAATCTTGCACAATCCAACTGTGCCGGCAGCTGTTACAAAGCTTTGAGCAATTGCCCTACTGCAACACCACGGATGCTTTGGGGCAGGCTGGAGGTGGTTGCCCCGGTGAAAAAACTGCATCTGATCTTAGCTGACTTTTGCTTTGTACAGCAGATGTTAAAACCAGTGTAGATTACTCAGATGTATCCAAGATAAACAGTCACAAAAGATTCCCAAATAAATGCTAATAGCTGTTTTTCTGCATCTTGTCCTTCTGAAAGACTCTGCCGGAAATCTACTTCATTCCCAGAAATTCAATGGCCATCCTATCAGATGTGTGCTTTCATGACTTAACTGCAAGAAATCCTTACCCATCCAGACTTCTCCAAAACAGCCTTGCCCCAGCTTCACCTCTAATCTTAGTGACTCCCGAGGGATTTCCCAAGCATCCTTTGCCAGGCCTTGTGTCTGAGGTTTGCTGGTTGGGCAGACATTGGTGAGCCGGTGGCACAAGCCATCTGCATGTTCTGAGAAAGGCAAATACACAGAGCAGAATAAAACACAGGAAAATGAGACACATTATTCTAAGGATTCCTACTTCTTTCCTTCTTAATCCCAGTTTGGATTCCCTCGGGTCTCTAATTAAATATAGCCTTTTAAATCTAGGAGTACATTTTATACACGGTCTCTCTCTCTCCCTTTCCCCTGCCCCCTCAAAACTACTTTTCTATATCAGATGTTCTACAAATCATCAAAGCAGCACTTAAATGGGTACAAACAACACAGCCGCTCCAAAGGAGCTTCAAGCTAAGTTTCCTGTGTGGATTTATTGCCCCATATCCTATCTACCTTGAAGATGACAACAATGGCTATTTCCAAAAAGAGACCACATAAATCTGCCTGGAACCCTGCTGTTATTGCCAGACATGCGAGGACTTGTCATTATTCAGAAAGAAGAGAAAGGCACCAGAGACAGTGTGAGTGGCCCACTTGGGCCAAGTCCCAAGTCCTTCTTCTGGAGCCCTGAACCTGCAGGCAGCCACCTGACCTACCACCCTGCTCTCCATGGGCATGAGATGATCGCTGATGCATTTGATTCGCCTGGATTTGCTGGCTTTTTGCCCTCATCCACTTCAGCTCCTGTTGCCACCTTTCACCTGAGGAGCTTTTCCCCCAAAATCAAATGTCCTCCTCTCCATTTATACATCCCTTTTAAAAAACAGCAGTGCCCTTAGGAGACAAGTTCCTTTAAAGACCACCTTAGAACACATGTAAATTAACATATGCAGATTTGTGCTTTTATTCTTTTGGTCCTCCGGGACAAAGCTCGGGATATTTTTGGTACCTAACACTGCCCCTGGAAAACATTCTGCATAATCTCAGAAACTAGAAGGCACTCATTACAAGGCTAAAGGCCCATCAAGCATTTTACTATGCTTATCAGTGAAACATATTAAATTCACCACATAAAATATGAAAGGCATAGGCAAGTGTCTATTCCAACTTCAAGGCTGCTGCTAGATTCTCCAGGTCATGGTCAGAATGACTTCACAGTTGCTTTTCTTAGTACATCATAAATCACTTTACCATCTTTATTGGTTGCCAGTTGAGCTCTGAGCCCAATTTATGGTGATCGATTTAACATGTAAAGCCTAATCCTCCAAGGAGGTAAGGAGGATGGCTAGTAGAAAAGGGACCTTCTCCGTAGTTGTGTCCCACCTATGAAACAGCCTCCCAAAAGCAGTTCATCTGGTGTCCTCACTGCAATCTTTTTGGAACCAGGCAAAAACAGTTTTATTCTCTAGGCATTTGATATTATTCTGATAATTTTAACTTGTCTGTTGTTTAATATGTATGATTTAAAATTATTGCCTTTGGCTGCATGCTGTCTTGTTTTATTGTCTTTTGTTATTGTTCTTTAAGTGTAGCTTTTATTGTTATTATATGTTTTAATGATTGTGATCTGCTTAGAGGGCCCTTGGGCTGATCAGCAGAAAATAAGTCTAAAAACAAACAAACAAACAAACAAACAAACAGCTGCCCTGAGAGTCATTTTTTCATAGAAGGCTGGGGTACAAATTAAATGGAATCAAATAAAATCAATAAATCATCAGCCAGGGCAGGGTTTGGTCTAGGTGCTAAATCCAGCCTCCCTAGGGACCCAGTCTGCCCTCCTGGGGTACTCCAGAGAGCTATAGCCCTTTTACCCCAACCTGCAATTGTTTGATTGTTTCCTGGCTTTTATGCACAATTGTCCTCATTTCAAAAGACTGAAATGCCTCTCCTAAGGCTTAGTTACTGGCAGTGAGAGCTTTCAGCTACAAGATGCTGGTGTCTGTAGTTTTGACTCTGCTGCCTTTTCCTCCCCTCCCCCTTAACAACTGAAGTGAGGCCTGCAAGAACTCCTGAGAAATTTAATTCATCCTTCAGACTGAAAGCAATTTCCCACCCTTAAATCAATGGAAGCCCCTGCCAGAAACAACCCTGGGCATTTGCTGCACATTTGCCTCTTCCAACCCAGAACACACCTTTTTCTTTCAAAATCACCAGCAGCTAGATGAAGGTTCTCGTCAGTAAAGGTGAGTTCAATGGAGGTTCAAGTTGACAGGTCAACTTTGGGCTCATTCATAGGAAACAGGAATTGTGTTACGCAAGCAGAACTGAGCTGCATATTTACTTGGATAAAGGAAAGCATTACTAAGGTGCCCAGAAATATCTATATCCATAGATAAGACTCATCCAAGAATCTATCTAGCTTTATTGTGATTCATCAAGGGTCATCCTTTGCATACCTATCTGAAAGTATGAAACTATTCTAGTGCTGGTCAAAAAGATCACCAGGTTTCCAGCCCCTACCATCTCACATATTATGCAAGAAAAGAAAGCCAAAAAATGTAAAAGCCTTCATCCTTTCTCCTGTTGCATGTATTCCCCCTTTGCACCCTTGACCTGACCTTCAGCTTCTTATTCTCCTCCCCTGCAGTTTTCTCTGTACAAATATCAAATTATTCTGAAAATGTGCACCTTTTACTTGTTTTCTTCTGAAACAGAAACCACTGATAGGGTGCAGCCATGACATCTTCTATGTGGTCATGTAAACAGGTTGATCAGGACTTCAAGGTACAGTGGTAGATTGGCCAAGTGGGCCAAACATTGCATTAATTCCATTAAACCTGGACCTGACAGATGCACTCTCTTGATTTCCTAAGGAATGCGTGATTTCCTGTTGGATCATTCTGTCTGAATAATGTTGTTTAAACTGTAGGGAGCCAATATAATGAATAATTTGTTACAACAAGATGGTGGTGACTGCATGATTCTTGCTTTAATTCCTTGCTGGGATGAAGATGCTATCCAAACTTCACTGCTTTGTTTCAAAAGGTAACTTGGACAGGGCCGCCTTATTCTGCAACAAATCCTGCATTATTGGAAGATGAATTGAAATTACACTTACTCGAGTAATAAGCCACTAGCTGCTGCAGACTGCTGAACTGTGTGCGGGATGTGATGTAGAAGCCACCATTGTCCAGCTTGCGGATCTTGTAGTGCTTCACATTAAGGCCCTTGGCATTGTCAAAATCAGAGACAGAGAGGCAATAGGCACCTGTTGAGAAAGTATGAGTACAGCTCAGATATTCTGCCTAAGAGACGCACTGAGGCCAATGTTTAGCAGGACTGCTACACACAAGATTCTAGGACTATATCTATATCACTCATTCCTTCAAAGGTCAACAGAATTATTTTCTGCGTAAGATAAATAGGAGTGGTTCTCCTTGGATTGTTCTGTTCTTTGGGTGCTAAAACATTTACAGCATTTAACAACAATATAAAGTTTTGGACACTTAATTATTGCCCCAGATGATGCCTGTGTAGACACTCTATTTTATCTTATACACAACTGGGCTGGCCCACCTTGTAAGAGAGGAAACAAAGTACAGGGAAACTAATATACAGAGACCTATTGATTCATTGCTCCCTTGTGGCATTTTAGAATGGAGGGAAATTCTGTACTCAGGTATTTTCAAGCAAACCTCTCATGCTACAAAGTCCTGATGCCACTTTCACATAAGAAGGCTGGTGATGCTGCAGTCAGCAGGATGGTAACTTCACAGCAGGATTAGCAATTTGGGGTGGGAGGGGGCATGAGGAGTGCATAACTTTGAAGAATAAAAGCAGTCAGCAAGGCCAGGTCTGTCTAATTGTGGCCTCCAGCTGGATCAGCCTTCACTGATCCTGTCAAACCTCACAAGCTGATTTGTGTGAGGTTAACACTGAGCACAGGGAAAGAAGACCTTTGCTGCTCACACAAGGGAGAAAAATAGATGCTGGCAGGGAATCCATGTGTTTTCCTCCTTGGCTACTAATGCAAAGTTCCAATTATATGAGGAAAAGTGCTGTTGTGTTAACTTGTCAGAAGTTTCAGCTTTTGGATATGCAACAGAAGCCAAGATTATTAGGCAGACATTTCCAAAACACAGAACAGTTGCATTTCTGAGACTGGCCTTTAAGACTGGCTCAGTTGCCCCTTTTCCTGTGTGTTACCGTCATCTGAAAGTCTGGCCATGGGCAACAGATTAAGCACAATTAACAATATGATCCAATTGGTATGTGCTTGAATGGAGAAGGGATGCTTGAGGATCTCTTTTAAGGTTTTGGGGACCATTTTTAAAACATGGGTTCATTTACGTAGAACTTGTTTTAAAAATACCACATTCTCTTATTTATGGTTTGTTCCTAAAGTTTCTTTAACCATCTTTACCACCTTGAGCAGTTTAGGAAGTAGCTTACCTGTAGCTGTTGTTCTTTAAGTGGTCATCTGTGCATTCATACATATGGACTCTGCATGCATGAATGGAGCCTGTTCAGGAAGATTCCAAGCTAATTAATCAATATTTGGCAGAAGCCCTCCCCTGAGCATGCCCCGGCATGAGGGAGGGGTTCCCACCAGGTCCTCAGTTCTAAACTAATGTGACTGCCATTATGCCTGTCTGTCCATTTGAGAGCACACCCGGTAGACATAGGGTGACATGAAGACAGGATGGCAGGTGGGCTTGTGTGAATGCACAGGTGACCATATGTGATGCACAGAGACCATGAAGAAAAATGACAGTTACAGGTAAGCAACCTGCCTTTCCTCTTCATGGTCTTTATACATCACACACATGGGCAACTGAAAAGCATACCTAGAGGAGGGCGGTGTTACTACCAGAGGATTGAGGATAAGAAGGCACAGTCAGCTCTGACTCAGCTATCAAGGCAGTAGTGCCAGATGAAGACTGATGGGTTTGACTATGTTGTGGCCCTGCAGAGATCAGGTAGGGGCACCTGGCGTAAAGGCTGTGGAGGTCGCCATTGCTTGTGTGGAGTGAGTGCATATTGGTCCAAAGGAATGGAGTCCAGAGGGCTCATAGGCAAGGGAGACTGTGTTCATGACTCATTTCACTAGTCTCTGCAGGGAGATAGGGTAGGCAATGAAAAGCTGCGGTGAGCTTTGGATAGGCTGGTCCTAGCCTTGTAAAAGGCCTAGGGCCCTCTGGATGTTGAGAGAATGGAGTGCTGCCCCAATCAGGTTTGACAGGTGAGGCAAAGCAGTGAAGGAAAAGCACAAGGTAACACGGTAGAGGAAAGTGGGGCAAAATACTAGTAAACAAAGCTATATAAAATAAAAGAAAATAAAAAATAAAGAAAAGAATAAAATAAAAAGTTTTAGCAGGAGAGAAGATGACTCGCAGAGAAGGTGAGTGAATAGCCATCAGGAGCAGAAGAGGAACTTCCTGATGCACCCATGATGGTGGCTGAAGAACTGAGGACCAGGTGAGAGCCCCTCCTTTGCACCAGGGTGTGCCCAGGGGAGGGGCTCCTGCCAAATATGAATTAACTAGCTTTGGAATCTTCCGAAACAGGCTCCATGCATGCATGTAGAGCCCATACATGTGATGCACAAAGACCACAAAGAAGAACCATCGGAAATATGACTTAAAGAAACTGGGCTGGAATCAGACCAAGTTAATCATGTTTTAATTCCAATGAAATCCATAGGACTAGCTGGTCATGGTCAGCTTAGTCTCATTGATTTCAGTGGCCTAATGCATGACCAATATAGCCTGGATCCAAACTACCATAATTAAATATGCAAGTAATACATCATGCAAATAGAATGGTGCTTTAATACTGCAGCCCAGGTTAACCACAGAAGGCCCATGGTACACAACTTCCCAGGTCACAAGCAGTATCAGGCCATAGAATGTTGATTCCATCCTTGGAGAAGAGCCTGGGGCAATGTATTTCTTCTAAATGCTTTACACTAATATAGTAAGAATGGCAATCTACATAAAGAACTAAATCCCATGATTTGAATAGACACAGATAACGATTTGCAGAAAATTCATCCTCCGAGGACAAAGCAAAAAGTGACACTCTGTGTAGCATAAGAGCCTCCTTCAACCTGCTGGGAGTGGTCTCAACTTACTGTAACCTCTATTACATGTTCTTTATTATATTATAAATAAAATAAACTAAATACATCTATAAAACCCAATAGCTGAAGCTCTCTAGTACACAACAGTTATGCCAGGTTTTAATTTTTGTTCCAGGAAAAACCTATTTACTACATAAATTACAAAATAATAGTGCTTCACAAGGAAAACTTTATATATAAAGGTATGACTAGAGACTGAAACACCATTGCTGCGCATAGTGCTTTAACAATGGACAGAAAACATCGCTTTAAAAATGCATGTGAGTAACCAAATTTTGTACCAAAAATGCTGAATTCTGTGCCCTGCTTAAATTCTGCAACTCCCCTGTTGGGCTGACACCCACAAGGCAGAACCCTGCAATCTTCTGGGTACCACTTCTGTCAGGACAGGGAGGATGATGGAAGTGCTGTCCCTTCTCCTTTTAAACTTTTTTTTTCTAAATGGACCTCTGAGCTGCTTGCACGAGGGCAAAAGAGGTGATTTGAATTTGCATATCCTCGCTCCTTTCTCCCCACCCACTGAAAGCTCCTTTCATCCTCTGTGAGGTCATGCAACTTTTCTGACCTTGGAAAGCAGGCACTGTGGTTCTTTCTGTAGTGGCTGCAAGGAGGAAGGAATAGGATCTTGAAGTTCTCCTGCTGAGGTTGTAGGAGTAACTGTGGTTCCAAGAGGATCTTTCCGAAAGTAGTTTGCCTGGCGCCATCTTCACAATCTTTTTAGCACCAGGCAAAACAGTTCTCTTCTCCAGACATTTCAACAATTAATTTATATTTGGATATTATGGTCCCTGAGATACTTTCACGGGACCATAGGACTGTACCTTAAGCACATTTCTCCAGTATTATTTAACTTGTTATGCTTCCTCTGGTCACAGAGAAAAGTTATGGATCACCACTAAAGCCTGGAAATCTTATACAGCTGCACTTTTAGTTTTTGAGGTTAAGAATTCATTGTATGCCCACTCTCAAGTTTATGCTCACACCTGTAAGCACTAGAAACTTGTTTTATTAAGAACACAAATGAATAGCTGATATTCCCAGGGACTTGAATTTTGTTCCAGTCTCTACTTTCTCTGGACTAAAAGAATGCACATGGCTTTCGGGTTTCCCAGTGTTTCACCATCGGGGGAATGCAAAATATGGAAACAACCACATATGGGGGCTTCTATAAAAGTACTCATTACAGCATTCCTTTGGACATGTCCTAGGGTGAAGTGCAATTTAGTACACTGCAGTGAAGAATATTTTGAGAGCAATGCTGGAGGAACATGAATTGAACATATTGAAAGGAATATGCTAGACAGACATTTGGTCACTGATGCTATGACCAAGCATTCCTGCTGTCTCCAATGTCCTCATCTCCTAATACATAATCCTACCTGTGCAGGCTACTCCCTACTCCCACTCTCAGGCCCACACTAGATAAGCCGATCATATAGGACAGGAATGGGAATAGCATAGCAGAGGACATCGCCAGTGAAATTCTATGCTCATGGCTTTTACTTCTTGTGTGTGTGGCAACATGCATACATACACAGAGACTATTCCTTGCTTCTACTGCCACCCACTTTCTACAACACCATCCTCACATAAACACAAGCCCTATAGAACTGTTCCCAGAAATGCAACAAACAGCCCCCAGCAGCAAACAAAGGAGGGAACTACAGAGTTTCCTGTTGCCATTGGTTACCCAGCTATTTCCAGCTCTGTGACCCAGTTTCAGTACCATCCTCTTGAAAAGAGGACAGGCACAGGATAGGAGTCTGTTTACATTTAAATCCCACCCAGTGCTCTGCCAATCAGATCAGAATAGGGAGGAAGGCAGAGAGTTCTGCTTGCTGACAAAGCAAAGGTTGACTGCCTATACCTATATTATCTCCATTCTCTGCTGGACACAACATACTTCCTTGTGTTACAATGGCTGTTGATAACAGTTTTTTCACATCCCTGAAAAAGGAGGCATGGAAAGACTGCATTAACTTTAAGGCTCAGGTTTAAAAACTCAATATAGCTGCACTACTCACAGTTAAAAATATGTTCTCAAATTGACTTAGTTCACATGACATCACAGCCCACTAGGGCTTCATTTAACCATGGGGGCTATTGTGTTGTACTGGGTGTCATTTTTGCATGGCAGTGATGAGCACCTGGCTAGCCATGTCACATCCTGTCATGCAAATTGAGGTGGCAGGGGTTGTTTCAGTGTTAGAGAACCTTTACATGACCCATGGTTTGTTTTTGGGTTATCTGAGTGTTGTCCAGCCCTCAGACAAGCCAGCACCTGGGTTAACCTAGCCCACTAAACCATGGCAAACCAGGCATTCAGGGCACCTGGCACAATGCAGCAGCCCTCTCAAATAAATTAAGCCACAGGGAGCTGACCTGATTGAGAACAGGCCTATTATTTGCATGTCTTGGCAGCTCATCATTTCAGAACCATATAATGTGCAACTGCCCACATTAGCCTCAGGGGGCTATTGCTTTTTCCTGTCCTTGGGCCAGTACCATAAGACGGGCACCCAAATGCCCTATCAGCCCATGGCATTCCTCTTCACAGTGGTTCACGTTAGCAATCTGAAGATGTGAACATGATCTTCAGATGACTAATAAAAGATCCCTCAAGAACAGCAACTCCTACACTGTGTGCACCAATGGACTATGAGAAATATATTTCATTAAAAACTCCTGTGAGCCCACATGGGAGGCTTCTCACCTCATCTCTGCCCAGGGCATTGCTCTCCCTGTGATCTCCTCCCGACCAACCTCAGAGATACGCAATTCTGCTCTGTCTTTAGGTACTATTGGAGCTTTAACCACTCCTGATTACACAAACACTGTCGAATTAGCCATAGTTAGAATGGGTGCCCTGCTGCTTCTTGACACAAGTCCTTGCATCTGGAACAGTGATTTGCACAGAAACAGTGAATATGGGGTCCTCCACAACCAGGTAATTCTTACCTCTTACACCAGCCTTTTCCAACTAGATGAACGGTAACATTGATCACCCACAGCCATCAACGCCAGTAGCCAGGGATGATGGGAGTTATAGTTCAACATATCTGGAAGTATCACACTGAAGAAGGGGGCTGTGGATAAAGGACTTTTTGGGTGTACTAGTGGTGTGCTTTCACACTCTCAGTTCATAAAAAAGAGCATGATTTGGCTATCAGTTTAGGAAACAGTATTCTCATATCACAGAAAATGTGTATTGTCCCAGTTGCGAGGGAAGAGTGATATTCTCCTAGGTAGCGTCATTTTCAGAGATGCTTATTTTTTTCACCCATGACATTACCTTTTGTTGTCTCGCTCTCTCTTGCCAGGAAAGTTCCCCGGGGATTCTCAGGATTGAGTAGTAGTCGTTCAGACTCTCGACGAGTTATCTTGCCAAAATACCACCTGCAACAGTGGAATACAAATGAGCATAGAAATATTCCATATCTCCAAGTTCCTTTAAGTTATTGCTTAAGAACAACATCCTGTCCTATTAAGTGCACAGCATCCAGGTGTTAAGGCCTACCTCAAGAATGTTGCCCAATGGGAAGGAGCGCCTGATATCTTTCAAATAGTAAAGTTGACAAAAAAAGATAAAAAAATCAAGAAACTGTGCTGCAAATAGCAAGAATATAGATTGCAACGCACAGTTTTAAGGATTTATTAGCTGCAAATGGGAGAACAGCTGATTTTAAACATGCAGAGAAATCAAGTGTCAGAGGTTTCATGAGGCAGTATAGTCTCGGAAAGCCAGCAATAGGTAATGTTATACTGCTGTCCCACATATACACTTGAAAAGGTGGCACATTAGTGCTAGAAAACATTTCCCCTGATGTGACAGCTTTTCATTAGCAAAGAATAGTGTGGTATTGTTTTCAATGTGAAAGTCCAGTCGAATATACCATAGACTACTTAGCATTGTGAGGTGATCCAGGCCCTTGAAACCTGTACTATATACTAAATGTTTACATTGGAGTTCAGAGTCCTCACTGTTTGAGTCAAGAGCTTGAAATTATAGGGTGCTAGGACCTATGCAGATAACTGGCATGCAAAGGAAGCTCAGGCTACACAACAGAATGATTACCATGTATAACCAACACATGAATCACCACAAGATGCACTTATGGCCACTAACCTAGATGCCTTTAAACAAGGATTAGACAAATTCATGGAGGACAAGAGGTCTGTCAGCCACAACAGACTGAAACTTCATGTTCAGACAAAGGAGTTGTGTTCACAGATACTGCTATGCCATGATTTATGTTAACCATGTCTTGCTCCTTTAGTGATAAATTGTCTTGCAGATGAGCAAAGAAATCACAGTTTGTCTTCCCAATTTCAGGTATGTTATTCTCCTGTCCATTTTGCTAAACTTCAGATCAGTTTCAATATCAGACTGCTGTTGTTGGATGCCTCTATTCCAGGATGGAAAGCAGCAAACATAAGTCACGGTTCTGAGTTTAGTGATCACAACAAGCCAGTGTTTTAAAAAGCCAGACTTTGTAAGGCAACAACAAGCCATGGCTTCTTTTTGTGGTTTATATAGCTAGTTAACAACCATGGATTGTTTAAGGAGATGAGTTCAATCACAGCTGTAAGCTATATTTCAACAAACCATACCATGTCTCAGTATTGTATGTGAACCAGATGACAATGGATACCAGATATTTGGGGTGAGGGGGGACTAGAGGGCAGGGCTATTTACTTCATGCCCTGCTTGTGCACTTTCCAGAAGTATCCAAAAGGCACTGGTTTGGGGAAGGCTGATCTATGGTACCTGATCTGTAAACATGGCCAAACACTGTTTGATTGATCAAGGAATAAACAAACATGTGTGACCCAGCCCAAAGTCCCAGACTCAAGAATCATGCCTCAGATTATTGGAAAAGGTACCCCTGGCTATTACAAACATAAGATTCAGTGGAGTTATAGCATTTTCTTTTTAAACCATTTTTTAAGAATTCAATTACTCTTCAGCCTGGATGGAGTCTGAGGGTGCGACATAGTTACTGGGGATGTAGCCTTTCTGACCAGTTGTGAGAGAGTGAGCCAGCCACCAATCTCCTTCCCTAGAAAACAGAAAACAAAAGAATGTATTAGTGAAATCAAAAAGGTCACATTACCTTCCCAGTCCAACTTCTCTTGCCCTGACTGCATAGACCACGGTATTGCATAGGCCAAGCTGTATTTTCAGGGCCCACCCTGACCATTTGTGAGCCAAAATTCTCCAACCCACTCATGGAAAGTGAGGCTGTAATATTACTGGCCCCAGATTTGGAGGGCCCTTGGACAAAACACTCCCAATGGCCCCCCTCCATCAGTGAGTCTAGCTTCGTACCACCAGTTTTACCAGCTGCTATGGGCCTTCTTCCTCTTTCTCATTATTGCTACCACTCGCTTGCTTAACAGACAGAAAAACCAGTGAGCGAGTAGGCTGCGGCGTTTCCTTCGTCCCACCACCCATCTGGATGAAAGTAGAGGCAGGTGATTAAACCGGCTGCAGTGGTGAAGAGGTGCAAGTCCTGGGGCTTTTGTTAGTCAGTAGGCCCTTGATAGGTGCCCATCCATACCCTTGATGGTAGCCCTGCTTTGTAATGCACTTAGCATTAGCCAGTAACAGTCATGTGCTTGGATGGTGTGAGGCCATCCACAGTGTACACATATGTGCCTACACATGAATAATGAATATGCTTTGCAGAAGAACTTGCCGCTCTCCATGAAGTTGGTCTACAGTAGTCTTTTGCAGAATATATAGGAGTAAGCAATATTATAAAATGTCGATGAAATACAGAGAGCAGCTTGCTACCTCTTTTTCCTGCAAATGCAATTGACCAATTTTTAAAGCACAACTTGATTCAAATTTGGTAGGGCTGCTGGGAACCAGATCTGTCTTGCAATACCTTTTGGATTAATATATGGATCATAAATTAGCAACCCATTGAATTCTATATTTCTCCAAGAGCTGCAACACAGTTGCCCATATAGTTTAAATATATTAAAATGTGCCTTTAAAAGTCAATTTTGAAATAAAAATTAAAATATGTGAAATTTAGGTTAAGAGGATTTTTTTAAACCACAAATTTATGCAAAACCATAATGTAATGAAATCATAGGTAAAAGCTTGCAATATTGCCATAGGCTGGATACAGGCCACCAGTTTGCCATCCTGGCTTTGACAAAAAGGGAATAACGTCAAAATCTAGCCACACAAATAAATACACTTTTGCAGACAGATTAAGTAATGGATGTATGAGTCATATAATGTATTCTATCGAAAGGATGTATGATTGCTTTGCAGCGACTTTTCAGCCTATGTCTCTGGGATTTGCTGGAAATGATGGTAACTGAAACAAATAAGGTGGTCCCCATAGCAACTGAACTGTGTCATCATCAGAGATTCCACTGTTGACACCTTATTAGTATAGTTAAGTGATAAATAACACCAGGTTCTTTTAAACAGGGAGCTTACTTTAAAAAGCATGTCAAGTACCCATTGAAAATATCTTTGGAGCCCTTTGAGTCTGAACCAAGTCTGATAGTTTTATGAAGCATTGAAAGTCCAAGAAAGTGGAGGTGAGAATGGAGAAGAAACAGGCAAACAAACAAAAACGAAAGAAGTGGCAATAAAATGAGAATGCATAGCCCAAAAGCAAAGTTTAAATACACAACAGCAAAAAGCAACATTAGGAACTAAATATTAAAGAACAGACATGCAGCCTGGCAGGGGAGATTAAGTGATGAAGGAGAAACCACTTCCTAGAAAAGGACACAAGCAGGCCTCATCAGAAGTCGGTAAATGGCAGTGAATAAGATAAACCATATTAAAAAGGCAAGGCAATATATTTTACTGAAGCAATTTCTGCCTGTGAAAGAATGATACAATCTTATGAGTTGCACTGAAATCCTCAACAAGCAGGATGTAAAGCAAGAGAAAAATCACAAATGTTTAATAACATTTAGTTTTAGGGTGCTTTAGATAGATGACTCCTAGCAGTACTATACTGGGCAGCTATTCCAATTTTCCTTCTCTAATGGATTTTTTCCAGTTTAAAAAAATATACAAAAAACAGTGGCCAAGCACAGGAAGGCTCCATATTTGAGCAGATGACAATCTCCGGATTTTCCGTAAAATTCAATGAAGGATGCAGGGTGATTGCACCAAAAAAAAAAAAAAAAAAAAGCCTCATCTAGAATAAAAGCCATAGTCACTTCAAACATGGCTAGCATAGTATTACTGGCCACTCATTTAACAACAGTTCAGTGAGCAGGAGTTAATTGTGGCATCATGTGTTCCACCTGCAGCCCCTTTACTGGGGAAGTTCCCCTCTCCTTCTAAAATATTTGCACAAGCATTAACTACCATTAAGAAAGTGCTGCTTATTCTTTCACTGCAGTTAAGGCACAGGTGAGAGCAGGGGAATTTACTGGAGGAAATGGAGCACCTGCAATGCAGTGCGCAGTTCTGTGGCCTGTTCCAAAATTCACAGCCACAGTTATAAGATGCGGGAGGAGGGGGCATGATTTCCGCACCAGGCCACAGTCATCTTAAGAATTAAGTCCAGTTGTTTCATGGAATCACAGGGATTTCCTTTGCATAAAAAGGGTGAAGAAGAGTTAATCAGGGTACAAGAAAGATAATCACACCTACTTTCTATTTCTTTTTGAATTCTAGGATTAACCAAGCATGTGCATACCCAAATGCATTCAGTGGAAGCAGGACTGGGAGTTTAAGGAATTGCAGCTAACCAAACTGTATTGAGAGGATGTTTAAGCCATATTCCATTGCTCATTCAAGAGGTTTCCAGACTGACAGCTCCTGGCACTACCAATCAAAAGGTAGTGTACACTTAGTTCATCCTTTCTTTAACAGGTTTTATTCCTGTTAAGAAGAAACGGTGGGAGATGTGGCAGGAAAATGCAGGAGAGTTTCAGATGGAACAATGTCATCTAGGCTCCCTGTAAAATTATCCGAATGAGCAATTACAGAGCGATGGGGCAGAGCAATTACACAATACAAGCCTCACTTTCACTGCTGGAAAGAATACCAATTAGGTAAAGTCATCTCTTCTACAAAACTCCCATCAATGTGCCTTAAAACATATTCATGTAAAAAATGAGTGCCCTGGTTCATACAACACAATAATCCACTATGCCTTAATTTAGCTCTACAGGGGCTGTCGTATTGTGTTGGGCACCCAAGTGCACCCTTTCAGGTGCTCCTGTTTGTCATGATTTACTGCGTCATGTGAAGCTGACATTGTGGGTTGTTTGATGGGGGTACGCAACCCTCAAATTACTCTGAAACAAATATGAGTTATTTGAGGGGTGTCTACCCTCTCAGCCACCAACCATGATGCTGAGTTTGGAGCATACAGCACACTATGAGCACACTGCTGCTTGCATACCCAGACTGGCAGTCAGCACGCTCTGCTAAGCTCTGGAGGGATATTAACCCACAGTGACCCCAACATGTTAAATTCTGAATGCTTTGTTATGCTTCAGGAAAGCAGGGTAAGAGCAATGTCCATACAGGAATTTAATGCACCAAATATATTCTAATCTCAGTAAGAGGAGACAAGAAATCTCACAATGTTTTCCAGGCAGGCTCCAGCTGCATTCCATGCAAAGCAAGGTACTATAATATATCCAGGGCAATACAGGTCAGAGATGAGGAATGCAGCCAGGACTCCCCCGCAGGCCTCCATTTCTCTCTTTACCCTACATGATTAAGCCTAGAAGCATTCACAAAATGAACATCCAGGTGGCTTGGAATGTCTTTATCTTGCAGATTCACATAGAGACTGCCACTAGCAAAGAGGCAGCAGGTGGCAAATATTTAGTCTAGCTGGCCAAAACAGCCTGGGAACAACAAAACAGGCATCTGGAGCGAAGTGTCAATCTAATGTTTGCCAAGGGTTTCTGGCATCCTTCTTACTGTGTTGCTGTGGGGTTAAACCTTTCAAAAAGGCAACATCTTTGCAAATCCTGGGAAAAAGCATGTATGTGTATACAACCCTTTAACATGCCACATTAAAGACAACCTTCACTGGGAGCTCAGAGGTTGTTTCACACATCACAAACCATGTAAGATCCAGACAGGAAGAAGCTGTACGGTGTGCAGTTTTAAAATTCAGGCAAACTGGTGCACAAAGGCATGCTGTATTTAGTCATCAGGACTAGTAGCCACTGGCAACCTTATTTTTCACAAATTAAAAAACATCCAAACTGGTGGGCATCACTGATCTTAGGGTCCTATTTTTAAATATTTGTTAGAAGTTCAGGAATGTTATATTTCAATTATTTAAGAACTCTAGGATGGATACCATCTGGTCCTGATGACTTATTAGCATATGGTTTGTCAAGAACCTCACCCTTGTCACCACTATTTGTCCAGTTCCTTGGACTTCCTTCTTTAAAACATTAGTTCAGGCACAGTTGTCTGCCCTTACATATTCGGCTCTTTGCGAATGGAGCGGCATAGAAATGTTCTAAATAATAAATAAATAAATAAATAAATATTCTGCAGTGAAGAGAGGGGTGGCAACCCTTTTCTCCATTCAAAAGTGAGATTCTCAAGATTTTTTGATAGCCATGAATCTGCATATATTTCTTTATCAAAACAAAAACAAAAAACAAATTTGGAGATTTGCCCAAGAGATTTATAAACAAAAGCTTTTCTTTTGACAGGTGTCAAAAGAAGTGTTCCCGAAAGTGGGAAATCTCATGATCCTCACTTTCTTGAATAGCTCCAGACTTGGGGAAACAAGGAAAAGCTAGGGGTCCTGGGACCTATGGCAGAAACAGTAAATGCCTGATGATCTCATTGTAAAGGGCATGGGGAAAGGAAGTGCCAGCCCTTCTAACTGGGAGTGCAGGAATTGAACTAGGGTACTTCTGCCATACGGTATAATGGAACCATGCAGTTTAATGAAATCCATGTCAAATTATAGACATGTTTGCAGCTAACTACTACATCAACATTTCAGATTTGGAGAGAAATTATTTGCTGGCAAAGTGATATACCTTGTGTATGGACCAGCAGCTGTTTGTGAAGAAGGATACTTATTTCATTAGTTCCATAGGCAGAGTGGGCTAAGGTCACAGAAAGGCTGTCTAGCTAGGAAAGGTTTGCCAGTAATATGAAAATATTTTTGCATCAAAGCTCAAATCTTTGGTTGACATAGCTGGAAAGAGTCCAGATGTTGCTTAGTTATGATTCATCAACTGTTATATACAAAAGATCAAGTGTTTCTCTATGTTCCTCCCTCTGTCCCTGTTGCTTTAGTCATGTGACCCAGGAAGAAAGAGACCAAGGAAGAAAAGAGGAGGTGGCAGCAACAAAAGGAAAATCTAACTAGAATCTCCAATATCCCCACCCTGCCTAATATGATATGAAAGCACCATTGCAGAGAGCATATGTCAGGAGAATCCAATGTAAGATAAGCAAGGAGGTAGCAAGGTATCTATTCTATTGTCTTCACATCTTAAGGAATCTAAGCTATAGTTCACTCCCAATCTGGTGACAGCTTAGAAATGCAGTGTTGCTTCTTCCTAAAAGTGCATCCTAACCCTAACCTATTTCAGTGGAAGGACATAAATAAGCTGTACATGGACCTTTCCATTGGAGTTAATAGGGAAGCCTGCATGCAGCTCTGACCACATATTTGGGCCAACCATACTTCTGCATTCACATGCTATTTTATCTTCTAGTTTGTCTAGTCTGGTCCATTTCATTCAATATACTGCAGTTGCTTGGGAAAACTTTAATATTAATAGCTAAATAAAATAGGCTTTGTCAAAGACAAGCAGCTAGGTCAAGACATTTCAAGCAATCAAATCAGTTTGACAGATATAAGTGACAAGTCAAAAGCTTGAAGTTTCAAAGTAAAATCAATAAAGTAGTAAGTTCCACCTTCCTTATGACTGACTGAAAACAGCCAATTGCTGCTGGTGCTGAAACTTGTTATATGTGAAGAAACTTTAGAATAATGAAAGTAAACTAGATAGTAAGAGTCAGTTTATATGTCATGTTAATTAAACCACAGCTTGCTGGGATGTGCTCCAAAAGCAGCTTCCAGTCTGTATATACAACCCATGAACAACAAGCTCATAGGTTGTTAGTATGAAGTCTAAACCCAGGCACACTGGTTGTTTATGGGTTAAATAACTCAGAGTTTATCTAAAGCTGTTTATGCTAACAAGAAGTGGCTCACGCTCATGCTTAACCGACAGTTTGCTGCCATGACATGGGAACTGTGTCTGAAGCAATGCTAACAAAAGAAGTGAAACTACTAAATGCTCAAGAGATGGAAGAGGTTTTTTCAGTCATGACACATGTAATGTGTACCAGCTCCCACTTCTACTAATGCCCTAGAAGATTTTGAAATCTTCAGATACAGATCAAGGGTATTTAAAAATGTGCAAAAAGTCATGATCAGGGGGAAAAATCATCATTCATCAAAGCAAGTCATGGAAAAATTATATCAGCTACTATAAAAAGTAGTCCAGCCCTTTCTATAATCCCAGATGTGATAAAGCAAACAAATTTCTCCTTCTCTGCCAAAACCCCACCACCACTGCTACTCTCCACACAGCATTCAGCAAAGTTTCAAAGATGAAGGAAATCATTCTAGAATATGGGGATCCTTTTCCATGCAAAGCAGTTGATGTTATAAGGGTGTCATGAAGCCAGAAATAACCAGCCTGATATTCTTTCCAGGGACCTTATTGGGAAGCAGCTACATAAAAAATACGTGTTTGAATGTATTATCTGGTATAGTCTGTATGCTATGAAGGTTGTGGGCTGGCTGAAACATACTGTATTGTGTTTATGTATTTGTTTTCTCTTAACTTTTAAAAATATATACTACATTCCAATTTTTAAGCATGTATGTCTTTTGTGAATTGTGACTATAAAACACTTCTACAACTTTTCAAATAAAAGAACAGCCGCAGCCACAGGTAGTCAAAAGCAGCTCCCTCTCCTTTGCATATCCCTGATTCAAGCAGAGGGCTAGGGTAATTGGGAATGAGCACAACCTGCCAATGGAACTGCTTCACATACAGCATGTTGCTAGGCTTCTGGCCAAGCACCACAACCATTCAAGAAAGTGCTGTTCATTACTCATACAATATCGCTGTGAGAACCTAGCTGTTATCCTTAGCTCCAATGGTGCAATGATATTGGATACTGTGGAATATATAGCTTGAAAGTCATTTCTCACCTTTTAAAACACATTCACATTGTCTTATGAGGGTCACTTTATTCTCAGCTTTATTTATATAAGAGCCAGCAATGAAATTATAAACAGCCATAGCCTTTTATTACTTTTTATTATCAAGGAAAAAGTACATGGTTTGCTTTGGACCTAGCAAAGTATGTCAAACACTCAGAGTGCAGAGATTTCGGAGAATTTTTTTAACTATTTAAAAAGTTGGGAAATATTTAAATTAAAAAAACTAGATTTGCTTTGACATTACTCTTTGTATGGCAGCAATCCATACATCCTGGTTAAGAGAGATCCTAGAAGCAAATCTATTGCAAGAGTACTTTAAAACCAAGTTGCACAGCACACTATGATATTTGACTAGAAAATTTTGGCACACGATTTGACTATGAAAATCCAAATAGTAATCCTCTTTTTAACACACACAAACAAATCAGCTGTGAGGCCTCTGAAGAAAGATTCACTGAGCAGAAGGCAAGGGTGGGCTGCAGGCACCAGGATCCAGTGGCTTCAACATCAGCAGTGGTGGCGTATCCACTGTAGAGTCTACCTGAAACTTTAAAGGAGCTCTCCATGGTGCTGAATCTAAGTGGTTCCCTAAAGCACCACCATGAAAAGTTCCTTAAAAGCTTGGATTAACACCCAAATTGGATATACCATCCCACTGATATGGGAACTACCAGTCTCTGCTTGCAGGTTTCTTTCTTAATAGTTTGGACTTAAATTTCCAGAAGCCTTTGCTAGCATAGGCAATGATCAGCTTTGAGGGGAGTAGAAATCTAAGAGCCGTTTCTGCTGTTTTTTACTTTGGTTTTATACTGCAATTTTATTAAGTTTTATATTATATTTTATTGTGCTTCCATATTCTAAAACTCCAGCAGGTACATTACTGGAAGTCATCTATGCATCTGCATATATGAACAAGTATTTCTTTAATGCAATAGCACTAGAAAAGCAAGTAATAAATGGAGGAGAAACAAGCAAAATTATACAAGAATTAATATGAGCTTAAATTAAGGGTGTTTGCTAGGCCATGCAACGATCACAGCACAGAAACCATATCTCCCCAATTCATAGTATGAACTCTAGAAGAATTTAACACATCATTACTGTGCTGTGCCCACAAATCTGTTGGAACTTGGGCAGGCAGACATGATCAGAGCAATTTATTTATTATATTTATATATCACTTTTTTATTTTTTAAAGAACTCAAAGTGGCTTACGTTATTTTCCTGCTGCTGTTCTCAAGCTTATCCTTGCAACAACAACCCTGTGAGGTAGGTTGGGCTGAGAGTCTGTGACTGGTCCAAGCCACCCAGGTGGCTCCATAGCCGAGAAGGGGCTGGAGCACAGATCACCTGAATCCCAGACCCATGATCTAACCACTGCACTACGCAGGCTTAGTTTAGCAAATGCACTCCAACTTCTTAGTGCTCTTTATCTCCTTGTATCATGGTGCTCACACTGGGTTACTTATTCGGCAAGATCATATGGCCTGGTTCTTCTTGAACTACACTGCTGAGAAGAAAAGATTCTAGCAAAGCCTCCTAGCAACATGCAAGCCTACGCAGGGAGTTTTTATAAAGTTCACCTTGTGAAACAAATATTAAAGGCTTCAGTCTAAAAGCAGGACAATATCACAGAGTTTAACTTGCAGAGGAGGATTAACAGAAGCACATACTCCTCTTGCTTTTTTAAAGTATTACTCTAATTCTTCTACTGTTTATTGAATATACTACCACAGTGGATTCTTCTTCCCTGTGAGTTCAGCTACTTCCACTGCTGGAACTCTGAGATAACACTGTATGATTTCAAGTTTATGATACTTTAAATGGTGCAGATTTGATTTTATGTACTGAACTCTTATTCAAGCATGGTAAAACAGTAATCAAGAAAACCATGCTCTTCTAGATGAGAGTATGTAACTCTCATACACACACCTAGTGCTGTTGCTCAACATTACTTTTTTTTTTTTAAATGGGAACAATACTTCCAGAATATACCTTCTCCATTGATACAAAAAGTAAGAACACTCAAAAGCAAATAACCTGGCTCACATGTCATGACAACTTTTTTAAAATTGTGGGTTACCATGAATGAGGCAGCTTGCTTGTGCATTTTCCATCTGTGATTTGCTTACTGTGACATGCAAATCAGGAATGCTGGCTTGCCTCTCCAGCCAAGCCAGAGAAATGATACCCCTCCCCAACAGATTATTTATGTGGATTGTCAGGAGAGAATTCCTGGTTTACACATAAGATTAACCAAAGCACAAATAATGGTCATAGTTTGTTTAGCAAGGCAGCAAAATGCCTCACAAATTGTAGCCCACAGTTTTAAATTATGGGTTGTCACAACAAGCAAGCCAGATGACCAAGTGTGAATAAGTATCATAAGGATTCAAGCTTTCTCTGTAATATTACTCTGCTTCCCAGCTCTAAAATGTCTCCCCACTCCAACCCTTTTATCACAATGTAGACATCAGAAATGAAATTAGCTTTTACTTTTTATACCAATCAAATAGAAGATACACACCTGACATCCACCTTTCTCCTAAACGAAAGCATGAAGAGCCAGAGAAAGAGAGAGAGAGAAGGCTTAAATTAAAAGAAACATAGTTTTAAGATGTTACTGAAAATAAGAAGTGCATCCACAAGGGTTAATAGCCCTAAGAACATTGGATGTTGAATGTCTAGGACTTCTGCATGTTCCTCAGAGCTTATCAAGAGTTCTCAATGAGAACACCAGCAAGGGTGAAAAACTAGTCAGTGCCCTGTGTGAACTAAATGTGTACCCTAGAACTTGATGTCTCAGAATCCTTTGGATTACTTGGTAAACAGGTGAATGTGGAAAAAGTACCTTGGAGGTAGAACATTCAAGAACAGTCCCAATCCTGCTTTCATTTCCCCCATATCAAGAGGAGGATAAGCATAAACTAGTCTTCAGATAATCTTCTCCCCCAGTGATCAGTAAATCTGGCACTTTCTGCCTCCCAAGGTACAAGCACTTCATGGAACTTGTTTGAGTTACACAGTGAAGAGGGCAAGAATTCCCTTCTGCTCACCTTAGGAGACGCTTATCCAGCCATCTCATATTGAGAGCACAACAAAACCTGTGCTTGTGGCTTTCTTTTTGCATACTACAGGCATCATGCTGGAACAAACCAGCACCCCTCTAATCCAGTCTCCTGTCTCACAAACGGGGCACGATATGGGGATAATTCTCTATCCCACATATCATCTTTCCCCAGTATCTTATAAGTAGATGTACACTGCCTACTAGGACAGGGAAACAGATTAAATACATCCAGCTTTAAAAGGATGGGGGAGGCAGAAATAAGAATTAGCTAACTACAGCCTTTCATAAAGTTCTCTTATAGTTCTAGGCAACTTTAAGCTAAGAGAGGAAGAATTCCAGCAGGTCAAAGAAATGCGTAGATAGCCTACAGTGCAGATGCAATATTTAGATAGCAGAAAAATAAGTGAAAATACATTTGCTGGAAGGAAGCAGGGTGAGTGCACATCTGCCATGAGGAATCCACTTCCATCTGCTCAGTCATATGGCAGTAATAACATTAATTGTTTACAATGTGTTTTTAATATGCAAAGCGCTCTACAGTCTTTATCCTGTTTGCCTTCACAATGATCATATGATATACAAGAATACCAATTCCCAGCATCTGAGATGGAAGTGCAGTAATTCCCTGCTCTCGTCTTAGGTGGTGCATAACTCTGAAAGGACATCATTATTTTTAAGGGCTAAATGCTTCCAGCAAATATGGATAAAAATATCTCATTGGCATGGGCCACCCATCTACCAAGAATCCTATGGGATGAAGCTGGATAGCTGAGTATTTAATTTTGCTGGATCCAGTAGCATAGATTTCCCATCCCAGCCAGATGTACAAGGACATCCTTCATATTATCGTTGTTGTTGTTATTATGATATTACATTTATATCTGACTTTTCTTCCTCTTGCAAGGAACCCAAGGCAGCTTACAAGGTTCTCCTATCCATTTTATCCTCACATCAACCCTGTGAAGTAGATTAGGCTGAGAGGAAGTGACTGATTCAAAGGTAGCTAGTGAGTTCCATGACTGAGGACTGGATCCCAGATCTCCTGAATCTCAAGTCGAACACTCTAAGCACACTAGCTCTCAGCAGAAACCACTTCAGAAACCATCCCATAGATTATTTTCCACTCTATCCCAGCTGTGGCATATGGAGGTTCTAGTCTCAGTGGATATATGATACAAGATAGAAAAATGTTGTGTTTGAAAGTATAGTGGGCTCCAAAGTAAGAAACCTGATTCAGTCATGCTTCCAACTTTGGAAATTATTATAGAATGGCAAGGTCATAACCTTCTGTTGCAAATCCAAAAAGGCTTTGCAAAGTCAGAAGTAGGCAACATGCATTGTTGCCGCAATCCCTGCCACTCTCAAATGCATTTTTCTGGATGAAATCTATAGTGTCTATAAATTATCCAAGAATCATTAGCCTGTTTGCAAGAACAGTTTGGACACGCACCAATATTATGTATTGTGTGAGTGTGTGTGTGGAACACCTTGTGAGCTAATTTTCTTGGTAGAAAGGAGAAATACAAATCAAATCAATAAAAGAAGCGTCTGGGGGCAAAAATAGTCCTGCTGATGTGGCCCACCCTTGTGCATGGCATTCAAGCAAAACAAAGCTTAACGCAGGTAACCAAGGTATAAGAATGGAGTCCCTTTCTTTAGGCACTTGGAAGGCACCTTTTTGTTTGAAATGTACAATAATATTAAGTAGGTCAAGGCCTAACTACACGTCATGGGAGACATGTAACTTCTACCTTATCTCTCTCTTTATCCCCATCTCCCTGGTAATATTATACTAAATAAGACATGAAATGCTGTCAGGCACAGCATTCTCCCCACAACCTCTGCCTGCTCCACACACACACACACACACACCTGCCAATGAGACAGAGAGCAGGGAAGGAAACACAGGATGCAGTGCTGTCACGTTGCATGTCTTGCTTAGCCAGAAGTTACCAGGGAGGAAATGTGGAGAGGGCCAGCCATGCCACGTCAGGCCCTCAGTCTGGGTTGGGTTGCTGCCTTGGGAATCCTGCCTTGAGGCTACGTCCTATGATCTTTCATGGTCAGCGGTGAAAGAGGGAGGAAGGCACTTCCTACATACACAGTGACTGTATGATACCAGTTCTTTCCTGCACTGGGGAAGGGAACTGGAAGCTTATTTGAAGGACAGAAGAAAAAATCAATATAACTAGGATTAGCATGAGCTGCTACTTGACACTTATTCTCCACTGGAGATTGGGACAATACAACATATATTGACTCAAACTTCCAGCCAAGCTCAGGTATTTAAATTACCCTAAGAGAAAGGAAAGAGCTAGATCTTTTTTAGCTCCAAATGTAAGCAGCCATAGCTATGGGATACAGAAGAACAGCAAATTTACTACAAAATTACATATAACAGTCCTATACCTGGGCAAAAGATACTTACGTGTTGTTGAGGATTTGGAGGCGTTCCCCTTTCTTGAAAGAGAGGTCAGATTCTGTCCGTGACTCATAATCATAAAGTGCCACAAATGTGGTGACTCCACCTGGAACAGCAGCAATCTGGTCAGTAGCCATATACCATTCCTAATTTCATTTAGTTAAGTTCTTATTACGCCTGAAAGGCAGAATATGCACAGCCAATTAATGCACTGAAGTCCCTTTCAGAGGCCAACTGCTTCTGCTCCCTGACAAACATGCATTCACTGTACAGTCTTAGAAAACCCCTGTACATGGAGCTGTATGAGTGAAGGAATCATATTTGCATGTTTGGAGAAAAACACTTTTGTAGAGAATAAAAAGAGCAGGTGTACATCAGGGAGTGAAAACTTTCACCACCCCCACCCCAAAACATGTATATTAGTTCAATAAAAGTGAGCTTCAGCGATACCATCCTCAAAATCAAGGCATTCTTACTGGAGGTATACATGGCTACCTTTTGCAGTCTGGAAAGTTTAGTTCTCATCTTTTCTTTGAGGACTACTGCACCTTCCTTTCTAAGTGCAACATTCATACAGGGAATGCTTTGTACCTCTCCGTGTGCAATGCACATTAGGAGAAATGCATTCCAGATAGATGAAAGAAGTATGACTACCCATGATGGGAGTCATACTGACCAGCTAAAGCCCCACAGCGCTGAGGAGAAGTGACCATATCAGATGTATTTGAACCTCCAAAGAGCTTTGTTTCTGGAGTTGTACTTCCAAATAAACGACTGGGGGTCCGATGGGCATCTGGGGCTGTGGTCTTGCTGGGAGTTTGAGAAGCAGAGCAGACACCATGAATATTTTCTGTGGATTCCAGGCTGCGCCTCCGTTGACTGGGATCTTTGGGTTTGCTCTTACTGCTCCCCATGATCCAAGCTGCAAGAGAGAAAGACAGCAAAGCTTAAGTATCACACTTCAGGACCTGCAAATTCTGGGATTCCAGATGATGCGTTTTCTCACTTGCACAATAAGATGAAGTGGATTCTTCCTGAGAGATACACACTCTTCTATGAAATACAATGCTAGAAATGACATAAAAAGATTTTGTTTTGTTTAATTGAACCCCCTTCTGGGCCTGCCAGTGATGTGGTATTTTTAAGAAGCTAGCTGTCTGATACCATTATAAACTACTTGGGGGAAGATTGAAATAGAAAAGTATGATCCTAGGAACACTTCTGGCAATATTTTTTTTCTTGAAAACAAGGTACATACTCCTTACATGCCTTGTTTTAAAGTAAAAAAAACAAAACAAAAACCCTTTTTACCTGCCAATGTTTTTGCTACTTCCAAACGAAATGTGGTGGTGGCAGTAGGGGGTCAAAAAAGGCAGTGGCGGGGGCTGTATGCAGCCTGCATGATTCTTACCCTTGGTAGGCAGGAGAAGACAACATTGGTTTAGATCAGCGATGGCAAAACTTTTAGAGACCGAGTGCCCAAACTGCAACCCAAAGCCCACTTATTTATCGCAAAGTGCCAACACTGCAATGAAACCTGAAAACTGAGGTTTTAGTTTAGAAAAAAGCAACTCACAGTCAGTCCAAGCAAATATATATATATCCTTGGCAGTGCCCTGACCGGTCATGCGAAAGCTCAGGTGAGTTGCGGCTTGTGATGTCATCGCCTGGTGCCGCTACTCCTTTCCAAGCATGCGCATGGCCCCTATGTGCGCTGTTATCCAATGCTCAGCTGTTGGGGCGATGCTGGAGCGACTTGGCTCGTGTGCCGACAGAAAGGGCTCTGTGTGCCTGCTGTTTCATGCGTGCCGTAAGTTCACCACCACTGGTTTAGATGAACTACTGACTTCATATAAAACAGCTTCATATGTTCATATAGCTGGGAATGAGAAAACGCTTCATGTGCATGTAGCTGTACCGGGGATATTTTCTCATGCTTCTCCCAACATGGAGATCAGAGGATAGGAGCAGAAGTGGGATGGCCTATCCCCTTTTCCAGTGTGGGGATAACAATATTAATCTGTGTCTTAAGACCACTGTAAAGATTGCCAGAGTAATATGAAGCATTTTATATATATACAAAGTATTCTTGCTTGCCACCCTTTGTGCCCCAAGTCACAGAAACAGAGTCGAAACAGCCATGAAAATTTCATTCTTGGCTCCCATGGCTATCAGTCATCAAGAGACTAGGAAGGTGTGTGAATCTTTTATCTAAACTAAGAACTAATCTCCATATCATAAGGCAAGCAGGGACCCTGTGGTGGGTATACCATAGTTTTAACCTGGAGTGATAAACTTGATAAAAACTCAGGGGAAGTTCCCAACCTTATTTGAGAATGAAAAATACAAGATTTTTAATTGCATGTAGAGATTGTATGCACGTAGGGACAGCTTATGAGATCCTGTGTTTCAAGGAATAGGTTTGTTTGAAAACAGCAAATGTCATGGGAAACGAAGGTAAATTTTGCAAAGAGTTTTCAGTTGCACAGAAAGACTATTCCTTTGCAACTGAAGCAAACCCCCTTGACAGCACATGCACTCTGCATGCAGAAGGTATCAGGTTCAAATCCTTGGCATCTCTAAGTTAAAGACTCAGATGGGAGGTGACATCTGATTGTTTGCCCAAGTCAGTGCAGACAATTCTGGCTTAGATAGACAATAGTCTGACACAGTGTAAGGCAGTTTCTTATTTTCCTTGAATGATCTCTGCTCTATTACAACCGTGGTAAACTTGAACTGCTATCATATCTCTGACTCTAAGCCTTACAGGCCTTAGTCTAGATTAAACTTTATTCTGATCAGTTTATAAAAGCTGTGAATCATGGAGGTGTAAAAGGTTATTTAGGAATATGAACTGGGGCAGCTTTCTCCTACCAGGATCCCTCCAAAAGGTTTTAACTACACCCTCCACCATTCATCATACAAATGATCAAAAATCACAAGCATTATGGCACAATTTATTCCAAAGAACCCATATTGGAGAAGGCTAATTTAGAGTAATAGAAATTGTTTTCAGTTTCAGCTCAACTAGTTCAGATAGGCAGGGAAAGGCATGGGGGCTTTACAATCAGAAGAAGGAACTTCAATCCCCACTCTACATATTTTCAAACATGGCAGGTATGAACATGCATTCTATTTGTCTGCATAATTTATGTGTTTGAAAGATCAACTGTTTTGGATAAAAGCCCACTGCAGTTCAAGATTATGCCTGGATGAGCATCTTTCACAATGCTTCCTTCTCAGGGTTATTGCTGAGCCAGAACTGAACATGTACCGAGCTGACAAGGCCGAGCTTGGCCTTTTCCTTGTACATGTTTTTCAGGGCATTGGGTGCAAAAAATAGAATATATGAACTGAAAAGAAAGTGCTGTAGGGCACCATATCAGTGCAAGCATGGCCTACTGTGCAACAAAACAAAGAGAAAAACGATGCAGAGGAAAATGGAGAGCTAAGGGACAAATGAGGTAAATCACTGGTGATGAAAGTGGCAAGTAAGTGAAAAAGCTAAGAACTTACTAACTCAAGCACTACTGACGTCATTAATTCACAGTCGTCGTCATCATTAACAGCAATTATACCAGCTAGCTTCTAGGGACATCCACAGATAGATGTGGGGCCATTCTTTTTGCCTTGCAGTAGCAAGAAGAAACCCCAAAATACTATGTCAGGTTGTTTTCTTGGTAAGTGAATGCTTATAGGTGCATTTTAAGTTTTTATATGATCCATAATCTTTATGAATAACTGCATTCCTCTTAATGAAGGAGTGGCTGCTTTTGCAGTTAATCATCACCCTGGATTTGGACATCATACAAAGTTCTCCCCCTCTTTGCTTAACCAGCTCAAGCAAACAGAGAAGTAGGAGCAAAAGTACAGCATGCACAAGCATGCAGCCTATTCACACTGAGGTTTTCAAAGCCAGGATTATGCCTTATCATTATGTGTGAATGCAGCCAGTGTATGGCATCAGTAACCTGCTAGCCAATCTTCAGCTGCTGTCATCAACACTGCAAGAAAATGACAAGTTGCTTTCCCTCGAAGATTCTTGATTGGATGTCACAGTGTTTTGCTTATGTCAAATGAGCTGCTGGGACTTCAATTAATGGTGTTTGAGGAAGGAGTATTTAATGATTTCCTGATTAAAATTAACTCTCTCCCACAGCTTTGCTGGAGTAGAATCTAAATACCTGTGCTATGTTTGTATTTTTCCTCTCCAAAAGACTAACAGCATCTTTAGAGGGATAACTTTGATTCAGGAAAAGACATGGGGTGAGAAGAATTCTATCCACTTCCCCCATAACACCACTGCTCTGATGAAAATTGGAGACTACTTGAAGATGCTTCATAACTTTTAAAAAGCTTGGAAGAAACAATCACAGAACTCCTGCATCTTGGCTGTTTGGCTCCAGGTGGTCAATTCAGCTAGGACACCGAGTACCATAAGGACCATTCATCCCATGTGGATGGAGCCAAGACCAATGCGAAAATTTTACCTGATGGTCATTAGATTCAGGCCCCATTTTCATCCATGTTATCTGTTATGCAGTTTTGGGAAAGTCACACACTTTCAGCTTCATAAATGGTAACCTAACCCATAGGGTTTAAAGATGAGTGATAGGTCCAGAATACAAAGCAGAAATACAGATGGATTGCCTCAGGATCCTTTCAATATCATCTTCTCTACACACACACACACACACACACACACACACACAGAGAGAGAGAGAGAGAGAGAGAGAGAGAGAGAGAGAGAGAGAGAGAGAGGCAGAGACCTCTCCAGATCGAGATATTCCACCCAAAGGCCCTCATGTTTAGGAACTCAGGAACTTCCTTATACCAAGTGAGACAGACCATTCGTCCATCAAGCCTAATATTATCAGTGCTGACTGGCAGCAGTTCTCCACAGTTTCCTAAACTTACCAGGAAATTCCCAGTTCTGAACCTGGGTCCTTCTACAGGCAAAGCATGTGTTCTTCCACTGAACTACAGCACCTCCCTATATCTGAAAGGCTTTCCATAGACGTGGTGCTGACTACACCAACAAGTTCATGCTATCAACTGCTGCTGCAAAAGATGTACTTTACTCTTCTTTCTCCCTCTTCCCTACCTTTTACTTTTCTACAAAACAGTAGAGGTAACCCAGGGTATGTGTTATAATACCAATACATATAACCCAAGGTATGTATTATAAAGCCAGTTTTTCAAAATGCATCTTCAGTTTCTTTAACGTGTTTGCAATTTATGTGACACCTGATTGGATGATAATGTGGATCCAACCCGAATGTTTGGAGGATGGGGATCTTTTTTCTCCTCCTACCTTGTCTTTATGCAAAGGTGAAGTGGAATGTGATGGGGTGCAACCAGCATTCTCATACGCTGGCTTCTGGCCAATTAGGCATGACATAATCAGGAGCCTTTCCTGGAACTGGATGAGTAAGGAAGGCAAGTCTAGACTGGCTAAGGCTTGAAAGAAAAGCACTGCAAAGGGACAGAACTGTTTTGAAGCAATTGCTACAACTGTTTTCTAAATTCCTTACTCCGTGCCCTGAGAACCACAGAAATTTGGGGAGGCAGAGAGATGATGACTATATAATGCAGGGCTGGGCAGATGCCAGGCTTCAGTGATCTACTCTGATTCCTTCTTACGAGAACCTCAAGGTCTACCACTTAGGGACAGATACAATATTTTAGCTCATGGTTGAGAAGCAAACATACACTCCTATGTTTGCAAGATGAAAGAGATACAGAGTGTAAAGCAGAAGTGCCATTGAATTTCCCAGCCCTTTCAGCCCTTCTTTGGAGATGGAGAGAGATTTAACATCATTATTATTATAATTATTGGTTTTATATCTATTTCACCCAACAGCTAAAGCTCTGTGGGCACTGTACAATTAATAAATAAAATAGAGTAGAAATATGAGTAACAGTGTAAAAAAAATGCCAGAGATATAATGACTCCCGAGATACAAAAAACAAATTTTAAATGACAGCTAGGACAGATTAATAGAGCTAGGCTTGTGAAAATAGCTGACATAACCCCCATGTGCTATTTAGAGTTGTCACCTGCCTTGGTATGGGGAGTAGCATTAATCGGGCACTGAAAGAATATTAGAGTTGGTGCCATGTGGAGGTATTCCACACAAGGGACATCATGTTTAAGAACATAGGAAGCTGCCTTATACTGAGTCAGATCACTTGTCCGTCAAGTCCAGTATGCAGCAGCTCCTCAGTACAGTGGTATCTCGGCTCATGAATGCCTTGGTTCATGACCAAATCGGGTCGCGAACAAAAATTTCATGAAAATTTTGATGTGGGTTGCGAACTCCGCATTGAGTGGCAACCAAGATCACAGCCATCTCCCCATCCCCCCGAGTGGGGATATGGCCATGATCACAGTTGTGTTTGTGTAGGGAAGATGTGCGTGATCATGGGCGCACTCCTGCAGGAAAGACAGGCGCGATCTCGGCCATCTCCCCCACCCCCAACCAGCATGATCGTGGCCATCTCCACCCCCGCTCTGAGTGGGGAGATGGCCGCAATCATGCTGAGGGCGAGATCGCAACAGTCTCTCCCTCCTCCAGTGCGCTCCATTCGTGCCCGTCCCTCCCCCCCCCCCGCAGTGCGCCGGGATGACAGGCGCATGCAGGGATGACAGGCGTGATCTCGGTTGTGCTGGGGCGGGGGAGGGGAGATGGGTGCACTTGTGCTCGGGGGCGGGGGGGAGATGGCCATGATCTTTGTTGTTCTTTGTCACTTTGCTTCACCTTTTTCTGATTACAAAAATGGTTACAGAACGGATTAACCTTATTTACGTTGAAACTTACGGGGAAATTTAACTTGGCTCATGACCAATTTGGGTCACGACCAGAGTTCTGGAATGGATTAAGTTTGTGAGCCAAAGTACCACTGTATTATGTCTCTGAAAGAATTAGTTTTCAGTGTTAGGTATGAGCTTGCAGTCTTTTCACAAAAAGCTACTCCTGGATTTCTTCCCAACCAACCAACATGTCTTCATTTCAGCAACCTAATTTCAAGGATGGAGTAACTTTTAAGTTGTTGCTGTCCTTAGACAACTGGTAGACAGAAACACTGGCAGTTTTCTTGCAAATAGCTTAAAATCTACCAACAGATACCTTGGTTATCTACCAACAGATACCTGCTTACCCATGATCTAGTGTTATCCCCTTCTATGGAGGCAGGGCAAAATTATTCAGCACCTATTGACAAATGTTATCCATGATACTGTGTGGCACAAAGGGCATATGACACATGGAAAGGCACCTGCAGAAGACAAACTTCAAAGGAGTAAAGCTATATTCTTTAAAGAGAGGCATGACTCCAGTCAATACAGAGTGGGGTAATTTCCAGAGCCAAATATCAAAGATCAGAAAGAGCTTTCAGTGTAAACAAAATGAAGGAAGAGACATGCTTTCTTTCTACTCCGACTCTGCAAACATCCATGATCTTTTCTCTAGTCTTGGAAATTCACGAATACATGGGGTTGAGAAAAAAAAAATCCTAACAGGATCCTAACAGATTTAAAATGTAAGATTCTTTCTAGACAGCCCTTTTAATTACTTCACAACTGTATAAATTTAAATCCCAATTTCTATCATAAATGTGTTGCTGGCAAGTCTGTAGCCATTTATTCTGGCATCCATAGTAGTTCGTAACATAAACAGCTCCATCCTGCATATTCAGTTTCATGTCTGCAGGGAATACTGATTGTACTGTAGAGTTCTAAAGTAGGGATTAAACTAAGGACAATCTAGCAATACAAATGCAGACCTGTGACATTTTGGAAGAAGTATTAGAGTCACATGCACGTACATCCGTTTGTTCATTATTTCCCTAACATACCATGCTGGAAACAGTATCTAATAGATGCAGTCAGAGGGGTTCTTTGCACTGACTGCCCCACATTCTCCTTCTTCCAGTTCTTCATTTGCAAAGCTAATACCTAATCAATTTTTTCAGACTCCTGGTCTAAAAATCCTGGGCACTCTGCCAGCCTCCATGAATGGAAAACAGTGGGAGAAAGCATTCAATAGTACAGAGTAGTGATTGCTTAGTGCTAAAGGGCATTCTTAGCACAGCTTCAGGCCCTTCACAGTTTGAGCTCTCCTTTTTAGGAAGCAAGGCAAAGAGGAAAGGAAGGCTTCAAAAAGTCAGGTCTATAGGTATGTGCATGATAATGGTGACTTCTAGAAAGGTGCAGCTGAAACAGTGGTTTTGTGATTTGCATTCTGGCATAGCATATGGATAAGCCATATGCCTTCACACATCCCCACCCCCAAACAAATGAGGACTCCATATCAGTGCCTTATTGGATTGGTGTCAAGTGAAGGCCAGTGACTTAATATCCACTTTTAGTCATAGCTGGACAATGTTTACACCAGGACACACCTTGGGCTTCTGCAGTTCCCTTGCAATATGAAAACTGCAGCCTTGACCTGTAACTCGCAGACAGCTTCCAGATAATCTGGACCTAAGGACAACATCATATGTTATGTTTTTAGCATGTATGAGTTTTATCTGGTGTTTCAAAACATAGATTACATACTGTGCAAGAGTTTTTGCTTTGAAAAGTGATCACTGCCACCTTTAGAGGAAAATCTCCCAATGTTTGAGTAACTGCTGTTAGTAGTAGGAATACAGAAATACAAATTACTCACATAGCTCTGTCAGGCAAGAGCCTTTCTATGGAGGACAGGGTGGCAGAAAATCAATCCAGGGTAACTTTTCTGGAATCTAAGGGGAAAAAAACCATAAATGTTGATTTAGAAGCCTCAAAAGCAAAGTCTAACTACAAGATTTGATAGCACCATCCTAAATAGGAAAACTTGGAATTAGGTCAGTTATTTCAGTGGAACTTACTTCCAAGTAAGCAAGCCTGGGACTGCAGCCAGGCAGTGAAAGTAATTCCTACTGTGTTTTATGGGACTTACTCCCTAGTAAACATATTTAGGAATTCAGCCTTAAGCCAAACTATATGCTAAATTTACAGGATGTTAACATAGCATGCATAGGACCAAACCTGCCTCTTTTTAACAGCAACAGGTACTTAACATTATCACCATGCACATACTTGCAATCCTTATACTCCAGATCAAGCCAGAATAAAACTTTAAAAGTGTAACCAAATGCTTCCAATCTCTTCCTCTAGGCATGTAAAAAGGAACTAGAGAGGAAAGGGAGCAGGTAACCTCAAAGCTGCTCACTGATGGTGCAAGAGACCATAATAGTTTCCATTATGTCTGATCTGGGCCAATAAGCTTCATGACTGAGGAGGGATTTGTCTTCCTGGTCCACATCTATCATCCGCTCTTTTTTCAAGGAGAACTGAAAACCTTGCCTCTTCTTTGTTCTGCACTAGTTGGAAGCATTTCTACACCACAAGCCTCAAAACACAATTTCTTGTTTTTTGTCAAAGAAAGGCAGTCACCTCAGCAGCTAGATTCAAAGGAATTATTTATTGGTACAAACAAACACACTTTGGCAGTGGTTAGACTCACCCTGCTTCCCAGGCACTGAAAAGTTCTTTTCTAAGCAATTACCTCTCTGGCTTCCTGTCTCACATGTGAATCCCTGCCAGGGTACTATAACCTTTCTTCCTTTTTCTGCCTTTTGTTCTTGGTAACCATCTATGGAGGCTGTGCACTTTCTCCAGACTCACCATCCTGTAGCTCTTGGGTCTCCCAGTATTCCTCATTCTCCCCCATACCAGTTCTTTCCGTGCTTTCTCGGCTTCCTCCTCCTCTCACCTTCACTGGACTCATTGCATCCAGTAGCTACCACCATCATCCCTGAATTCTCCTCCTCTGGCCTAGTTAACTCGCTTCCTGGCTTGGCCTTTAAATTCCTACTCTTGTTCCTAGACTCAGATCTCTCTTCTCTACAGCATTCTTTATTTCACACAGGGGATCTTTTGCTTCTGGCAACCCCTCCAGCTACACAGCCACTTTTTGGTCTAGTTCTTTGGGCCAGATGGGCATGCCAGCAATCCAGTAGTAGACCTGAGAAGTGCTCAGCTTCTAAAGATATTTTAAATATAATAAAAATCAGCACACATTGTTTTTAAAAATATAGGAAATTATGTTGGGGGGGAAATCAGTTGTACTTTCCCAGCAACACTTATGCAGCCACATTCCACGCAGCATTCACAATTACAATAAATATTATTGATGGATATCTGATATGCAGAATGTTTTGGCTTCAAGGGCACACTGGGTGTGTGCCAGGAGCCAAATGTGTGCATGTGTATGTATGCACCTATAAACTCATGTACATACATACAGACACTCACATGCACATACACACTCATATCCTAACTAGCAGTCTTCTACTGAAGCCTAAATAAGGGAACTGTTTCCTTCACAAACTGTAGCACCACTGTTGGGAAGGGAAAGCCCAGGTTTTTACTTGCTGCACCTGTGAAGGGATACCCTTTCCTTATCTCCAATTCCACCTTAGAGATTGGAGATGAGAAAATGATTTTCCTTGTATGCTCTAGCACTAGCAAGAGAATCCCAGGATTTTCCCAGCTATCACTAACAAAGGAAGCAAGCTCATGAGCTGCAGACTGCCCATCCTTGATTTAAATTTTATATGGCTATTAGTCACTTTGAGGGATCCATTTGGAAGAGAAAGACAAATATAAATATTTTAATTATCAAAGATCAAAAATATAATTTACATATAGGGAGTTGGAACAAAAGAGTTCTATTTTTCATTGGGAAACACAGTGTCTCTGTAAGAGCAGAAGTATATAGAGGAAATACTTTGGGATCCCACATTATAACAATTACACAATTACTGCTCTCAAGAAAATACATACACACCAAAATGAGGCTGGCTAAAACAAAGAAATGCCCAATAATTGCAGTTGCTTTCTTCAGTTTTAAAAAAGTTGAAAGGCCTATTTTGTCTTAAAACAAGGATAACAGAGCAACTAGCATATAAGGCGCTCACACCTTCACATTACTGAAAATGGGTGTCAGCAGCAGACTGCCTTCCTGATCTGTCATGCATGAAGAAGGGACAATTCTCTGCTCCACTTCACCAAGTCAACACAAAGCAAGGAAAGAGGTGGTGGTTGCCTGCAGCCCCGGGCTACGAGCCATGCTTATACAGCAAAGCAGTCGATGAGGAAAGAATCTCATGTTTATCTCTAGAGTCTATCCAGACTGACAGAATACAAAGTCATTTAATATGAATTAGCCAGGGGAACATTCTCATCCTTTGAGCACTACTGGGGCAGTTGCTGGGGTCTCCCTTGTATACCCTATACCTATACCAAGAATCAGGGAGATGATTTCCCTGGCTGAGGAGCCCCCAGCTTCAGTCTCCAGTGCCAAAAAAAAGAGACATAGCATCAAATAAAAGAGGACACTGCTATGCATAAGATTTGCACATGCTGGTTTGTACATTTAGAGATTGTTACTATAACTTTAATGTAAATAAAATTGATTGAATCATAATGTAGAAGTCTGTAGGAAGATGTTTGTGTACCTGCTCATTCTGCTGCCCACAGGTGAGCTGTTGATGGGAAACATCAAAGCCCCAGCCTGTTCCCCCTTCTTAGGGTTCTTCTTATTTAAATTGGACTTGGACAAGATAGCCCTTCAAATATAGGACTGTGCTCTGCAAAGCAGGCTACATGGCCACCCATCAATACGTTTTACTAGTCATGTGTCTTGCAGTTGCTGAATTGCCTCTGCTAGCATATCAGCTTCTTTCAGTAAAAGCAGAAACACTGCAGCAGCTGTTTGTAGCCCTGTTTTAAAGACGAACTGCACATTTGAAGCCCTTTTATCCTGCTGTGTCTGAAGAGTTCTCATTGTAATTAACATTCTTCTCACTTCTAGAAATGTTAGCAATGACAACCATCCTAAACTGCACTGCCAGCCACCTGAAGATAACACAGCATCTTCTGTTTTGCATTAAAACTCCATCACCACCCCCACCACCAGAAAAATGGAATTAGATTTGCAGCTATACATACACCAATTTATGCAAATTATGTTTTCTTTTGTCCTCTTTTTTGGTGAATCATTTCCTCTATTTTCAGAATGTGCAAGCTGCCATCCTAAGCCACTGACTCCCAGCCTTAACCAACAACTTGCAAAATAGGAATAATACTGACCTACCTTACAGAGTTATTGTAAGATTAGACCAAGATCATGTACTTAAACTGCCTTGAATATTCAGATGTATTGTTAAAATGATTCATGCCATTCTTCATCTAAACATAAATTCTAGACAGGAATACCACTAAGTTTGGTTCTAGCTACCATCTACACAGGGAGATGGATCTCTGCTTAAAGAAAGGTTCAGCAGTTACACACAGAAACATAACAAATAAATAAGATACTTATGGAGGTATCACTACTTCTCAAAAGGGTACTGCTCCACCTAGCACTTGCTGTCCTCAAACCTCTTATCTGAGCTACCTCAAAACAACCAGCTGGGGCTAAAAATGTCAGGTTGTCCAGCCAGTTTGCTGCTTGTGCAAAGTTAATGATCTACAAGATCAGAGACTAAAGCAAACTGGAGCCACCAAGGGCCACTTGGAAGCTGTTCCTTGTGTATGGGCAGCATCTCTTCTTCCTCCTTCCCTCGATCCTCTTCCACAATATCCATGCAAGGTCTCACCAATGATTCACCAGGTAGGTGAAGTCTGACAGGATCACTTTGTCCTTGGATGGGGATGGATTACTTTTCATCACTGATGGATCACCCTGGTCCATTTTGTGCTGCACAGTCTCACAGTCCTGGTCCACACTGCACTCTTCACTGGCCTGCACATTAAATTCCCTGTCCACTACCCACAGCAATCGTACATTGCAGTATAGCAACTAGCCTATTGTGACACTGTTTGCTTCTTTTGCTTCAGCTACAGCTAACTTACAATGGCACCTGCATTCCCCACCTCCTCTCCACCTCAGTTGCCTAACAGGTGATGAGTAGCCAGTCTCCAAACTCTCTACCCCAAAAGCCTTCCTGGCAGGCCTGCTGCCAGGCTAACCATTTGGGGTACAGCTGCCCACCACAGAGGGAGGTGAGTTCATCTGGATTGCATGCTTTTAAAGACAAATGTGTAAACTTTTTATTTTAAAAAAGGAGAAAATTTAGGGGAGCACCCCCCCCCCAGGGCCCACCTGACTATGGGCCTGTGCTGTCGGTAGCCCTGAAACAGCCAGTTTACCACTAAACAAGCCAAAGCTAGACAGTCCCAACTAAGAGCAAATAGCTGGTGCAAAGAAAGAAAGGGGGGAAGAGGGTGAATTGATGCGCAAGTGTGTGGTGAGGTAAAGAACCACACATAAAGTGATAAGGAGCCTCCAGCTGTCTTTGGGCCTTGCAGTGAACAACACTGAACTGGAGTATGGAAGGGCTGCTAGGCAACAGGCCGTCTTAAAACCTCATCCCCTTCCTAGGCCTCAAGACAGGTTTCCTATAGGATTGGAAGCTTTAGCAAGCTTCTCCTTCCAAATAGATAAATCCACCAGCAAAGGGTGCAATGTCTATTACACCACTTGATCTGACATGTCAAGAGATTGCTATCTCTAAAAGTCAGGCTCCAAGCATGGGTGGGACTCTTTACCTGAAGTGGCAATTCTGTGGCATGGAGGCTGGGCTGCAAGTTCATTACCATGTTCTGGCCCTGTTGGGCATTATGTTGCATAGCTCCCTTGGTTCTGCATTTATAGTTGTTCCAGTTCATTTCTACAGACTCATTAGCAACTGTT